CAGGAGTGTTATTTAGTAAGGATTTTTTCTTAAGGAGTTATTGTATAAGAGGTTCAATATTAATGAGATGCTCTTCCTGACTATTAATAGCATCTTGTATAGTATTATATTCCAGAGGAAGAGAAGCAAGAAGCTGTTAGAACATCTAGTGTTATATAGTGAATATTTTGAGTAAGTTATTAGTTACTTTAATACATCTTCCTAAGCGCTAAATCTCTATTTATACATCTTTTATGCTCTTCTTAAGCTTCTTGTGATAGTTAATATACTGCTATAGATAGTATTTATTTATTAATAGTCTTATCTTTATATATTTCTTTCTTAGTATGTCTCACGCTTTCTTTACTAATATATATCCTTTTATAAGCTCTTAATCTTCTTTTCTAATGCAGATATAGATAATATATTATGTCTTTATATTTAGCTTCTCTGCCTTTTTAATAAGTACTTTAGTATATACTAATACTAGTTAGATTTCTTCTGCTTAAAAGTAAAAGATAAGGAGTTTAAACTATTATTTGTAATTAGTATATATAAGGATTAGCATTAATTGTTTCTTTACTATAATATTATCTATTTTAATAATAAAATAGAATAATAATTAGTATAAAATTAAATTAACTAAGATAAAAGAATATATACTTTAATCATTATAAACTTTTAAGCAAAAAAGAAATATATTAATTAATTGCTATTATACTTAGTTAATCCTGATAGAGTCAATTAACTCACAAGCTATAATAAGCTGATTTCCGAGTCTTAGGATAAACTGTGATGTAATTAATACCTCTGCTCTTAAATCTATAGACTTGTAATTCTGTAGCCCTAGAGTATTTAACTCGCTTACGTTTTATAATTAAGTATAACATAACTGTACCTCGCTATAGGAGTAACAGCTCGCTTAGTAATCTTAATTAGGCCTTTACTCACTATTAATGTCTATAGCTATTCTACACCAGGCTCATAACCTGTTGAACAGGTATACAGATTAGGAACAATTCTAAGATATTAAAAAAAGGCTTCTGTAAGTTTTATGCACCAAAATTAATAAAATTATTAAACAGGCAGGATTTAAGAGAAGAAGACCTCTCTATTTCTGTATTTTGATTTAATTCAAATCAGAATATTAATATAGAGAGGCCAAAGAAATTAAGAAGAGATCAGAAAAGAGGAAAACAGACCTTTTAGTACTATAAGGAATGTGAAAAACACGTTTATAAGGAAGGCCACTGCTGGAGTCAGGCGCATAAATAGGATTCTAGATAAAGAAGAGAATATCAAGAAATATTCTCTAAAGTTGTTTCTAGTATAAAAAATCTAATATAGAATTAATAATAAAATAAAGAATTATTAAATACTAATTTTATTTTATTTTTCTAATTTATAAAAACTAAATATTAATAATATAAAATTAAATGTTATTTATTCTTATAGAGAATTTTGAGAGGTATTAAATAATACTGCTTTTAGCTTTATAACATTATTTATTAGCTTTTTATAATAAATAGAAATTAGAAATAAGAAAGAGTTAAAAAGTATTTTCGCTTATGACCTGTTGAATAGTTTAGCTATTAATCTTAAAAAAGCTTTTTCAAAAAGCATATACGTTCTATTATATAAAATATTATTTATAAACGTTTATCTATAATAATAGTCTAGTTATACTTGCAATTATTTTTCTAGATCTAATATCCTTTTACTATTCTTTTTGTTTTGAGCTAAATATTAGTTATATATAAATATAAATAAGATATTTTGATAGAAGATTTCAACGGCTTTTAAATGTTACTAGTCTTTTATTTATAGCTCTAATAACTAGCCTAATGCAGCTAATTTAAATTTTACTCTTATAATTTACTTTTAGTGTTCTTAACGCTAAGGCTGCAGCTAGATCTTAACGAATTCCAGCGTACGAAGATCCTGGACCAGTTCAGAAGGGCCGTTGACCAAGACGTAGAACAACGTCTACAAGGGTCAAGCGGAAATCAAGAAGAGGAAGAGGACAGAATGGAGGAAGAGGACAGAACAGAGGAGGAAGGAGGGTGAAGGAGAGAAAGGAAGAAGGGAGGATTATATAAGTAACGAGAGAAGGTTGACGAGCAGACCTACATAGGCTTTTTAGTCTGGATTAGGTTAATAGAATTTACTACTACTATCCTACATAAATGTCATCCCTAGTTGCCATGTTTAAGGCAATTAGTTGTCAAGAACAGTAAGATAAGAGTTGGCAGTGTATTCTGACTTCTCTATATCAGGATCTCGGTCTATTATCATTATATCTAAACGCCTGTCACTATAAATAGCCTCTTATATTATAACACTAATATCTTTGCCTTTCTTATAAGGATTAATTATATTCTTTTTATAGCGTTGTTATAGCGTACGAAAGACCTAATTCTGACGTGCACTAGTACCTCTTTCTAGCGAATATTTATTACTAAATATTATCTTGCTTTACTTATTCTATGTCTAATCTTTTCGTTCTAAATACTAAGCTAGGCGTTTAGCAGCCAATTAAGGAGTTAATAGAGGTCTCTTTTTGCTGATCCAATTAGTAATGCCCTTATCTTTGAGTATTTGATAAAGGGTACTTCGAGAAACCTTTACCCTAACTTCAAGGGCTAATGCACGATAAGTAATCTTCGGATTCATTTGTATAATGCGTAAAATATTGTGTTTTTGAATGCGATTCAAGATAAGAGGTCGTCCTTTTCAAGGCAAGCTTGTGCCGTTGTGGCGCAATGAATTTTGTACAAGGTTGTCGAAAACGGTGGTTTTGCCGCAATGCAAATTCTCACTTATTTGCTGATTTGTCAGCCCTTGAGCTTTGTACGCTGAAATTTGGCCTCGTTGATATGAAGATAACTCCTTTCCATAGCTTCTGTTAATTTCTAGAGGCGCCAAAGCCCTGCGTTGATTCATGGTTGTTGTTAGCAAAAAGAGTAGAAAAACGCGTGTGTAGAAAAAACGCGGTTTTGGTCGGATACTTTTGTGCGGGGGTGTAAGACGTTCCATCACGGGTGGTAAGCGGGTCTGTGCGTTGCCGTTACTACATAGTACTCTGGTAGGAGCCATATTAAATGTAACCCCCCTCCCCTAGTTAAATTGTTATTCACGACTCTCATACAAATACCTTGTCGCGCTTGTACGAATGACGTCCACCACTGGGGGGCCGTTCAACGCATTCAACCTATTGAGCTTCTTCTATCTCATTCTACAACTGCTCCAATGTCAGGAGTGCCAAGGCATCTTAAGCGACGTGACAATCTAGCGTACGATTAGCATGCGCTTCGCATACGTAAAGCGCTATCAGTAATAGTAACGAAGAATTAAGATAAATCAAAATAATAGCAGATTCTCTGAACATCAAGGCATAGGAAACTGTCCTATCAACCCGGAAGCCTCTATTTCGAAACAGAGTATCAAGCTCTCGAGCTAAGGAATCCTGATGGCCTGATTGCCTGACGCAATTAGTCTGTAAAGTATCACGGGCTCACCGTCAGCTCGAGAAGCTTGAGCCACCAGCCTGCTCAGATCGCACTTACCCACAAGTGTCTTCTGACTCCATGTGCTCATATCGAGCCTCGAACAATCGGTCTTGCTGCGCCCCCACGAGATGTGAAATGCAAGACGTGTAGCCCCTGAGAAGCAACACGCTGCTACCCTCACTCGACCGTCGCTTGATACATCTTGCTTTTGGTCTTGAATCAAGTGTTCACACGGCACACCGCGAGAAGGTGTGAATCCATCCTGCCAGTGATCCAAGAAAATCTGCGGTCTGCGTGGCCGCAGAGGGCGTAAGAGATATCAGTAGAGTTTTCGAGATTAGGCGGCTTCAGAGGTCATCTCCTGTCTACCTGCTTAGCAGGAGAAGGCCCTCTGAAAACTATGCCTAAATTACCATCAATATATGCTTAGTTTCGGCCCAACCGTGATATGATAGTTATACAGAGTCGTGCATCAAAAGTCATTAATATACGCTAAAACTCGAGCGCCCCTAGCACACTAGATGTAAGCTTTAGCGTGACGTAAAACATGCGCAATAGGGGTAGAGTCCTAGAGCTGCCGCTATGACCCCCTTTTTTCTTCGACCTTTAGGGCCCCCTTTAGGTTATTTGATGTGGCTCAGAGATCTGTGTCAGTTAAGCTGTAGCCATTCGCCCCCTGATCATCCTTGTGTCCCTACTGATGGCTAATTCTATTTTAGCCCCAAAAGGGCTAGTCTTCACTCATCCTAGTCAGCGTATATTAATGACTTTTGATGTATGACTCTGTAATCTACATTGAATTATTGTTAGGGTGCTCCAGACCTCCGCCGACCACTGCGCCAAAAGGACAGAATGATCCGAATCTACGGATCATGGAGCACAACCACTTATATAGCTCTTGGCATTCCTAACAATTATGTAGCCATAAACTTATGTTATTTCAAGCGTCATTTTACGAAAATGACGTTCAAATTATGGCTGAATTATCGTCATTTGAGCCTCCTGACAATCCTTAAAAAAATATAACTTCTGCTAAATTACTAAGGACCAATACCGCGTGGTAAGTGTGTCACTGAATGGGCCCACTTCCTTGATTGAGATAGCCTTCCCGCGATTTAAGCTTAAATTGGTATCGTCAACAGCGATACTCCACCGCTGTGGTCTTGTGAGACTGTCCCTGGATCCTTCGAATTCAATACTGATCAAACACTACATCACCACCATGTAACAGGGAAATCTCTGGGCTTCCGGATTTGAAATCTGAGGGGTGTGGAAATGTGTAAGAGCTTTGTGGACACACTTGCTTTAAGAGATTGACTAACGCTACCATCGACGCAGCGAAATTGCACAGTGGAAAAGAACTTGGCTTTCTTTCTGGTATTAAATTACAGCAATAACGAGCGATTTCCTAAGAGTTTTCTGATCCGATTACTTCCCATCTTTCCCTTTCCAAAATCGTCCGTCTATCTCCATACAGCAGAACAACAAGTGTGATGATTCCAGCTATTGAAATCAGTTGTCCGGAACAAAGTCTCTAACTGGGGGAAGAGTAAGAAAGGCTTTCGTGCCCTCAATGTCGGAAGGCTGAACCTCAGGGGGAAATTTGTGGCTCATGACGGAGTCCGGGTTCTTAGATCCGAAGCGGACCGCCCCTCCTTCCGTTAACGCAAACTCGTGCCTCAGGCCCAAGACATGTCCCAACTCATGCAAGAAGACGTTCTTCATAATGCCGAAATTGGTGAAGCCGCCCTGATCCGTTTTGTCGAAACCGAAACTATACACGTGCATCGTATTCAGAGGCTTATTATTGGGGAAGAATGCACTGGCGAGAACGTTGCCTTTGGGTCCACCGTACTCGAGCACAAATGCAGCGTCCTCGAGCTTGGGAACCCATTTGAACGTGACACCTATTTTGTAGCTGTTCCACTCCTCTGCCGCCTCGATGAGCTTCTTAGCCGCGTAGACTGCGTCGGCCGGCGTGGGATAGCCGTGGGCGTAGGTGGCGAAATTGATCACCGAGTTTAGCTTCCAGCGCGGGGTGTGGTCAAAGAATCCCACTAGGATCGAGGCTACCGAGCTGGGATCAGGTAGTTCGGTCACGCAGGTGTAGGAAGGCCCAGTTGGCGTCGGAGAGGCCTTGGACGGTTCAGGAGGGTTTTCGAGGTCTTCTAAGGATAGAGTCGCTAGTTCCGCGTCTCCCAGGGCTTGCTGAACGACTTTGATCGCATCATTTCTCTTTGCGTGCTTCGATTCCGGTTGAACCGTCAACACATCTAACGCCGCCATGGTGATAACAGTGGTATCTGCTGGGATTACAGGTGGTCTTGCGATTGTCCCACACCAATGGCGTGGTGTGTTGGTATCCACAGCGTATAATCGGGAGTCGGATGCGGTACACGAGATGATTTCTTCCGAAATACTCAGTTGTATTGCCAAGGAAAAGCAGACCACTGATGTCGATGTAGAACAACCTTTTTCGGTGGTCGATCACATCATATATATACTGGAGTCCCCGGAGACATATTCAAACTGTTGAGCGCGACACCAACTCTTTCTGGTTGATAGAAAGCCACAGCACGGGAATCTCTATCACAAAACATCATTTTTTCAATATCAGTGAGTTGCCTAACACCTAGCAAGTGCCTAGTTCGATCAGCCAGCCACTTTGAAGACTAGCCATTTCATCGCTGCGAGGTGACAATGTTGGTGGGTGGGAACAGCAGACTTGAATTGTTGGTTAGAACTATTGGTGGCTTTAAGGCTTGCCACGCTCCTACAACTATACGTTCTCGTTAATGTACAAAGTTACAAATTGGGGGTCCACTGCCGACTTGTCACCTTAAGACTGAAATTTCCAGCCATATGCCTGCATTCCGTACAAGTAGAAGCCCTTGAACCCTGTATAGCTTGGGTATTTTGATATAATGTTTTTGTTCGTGTGTTTCATAAATGACATTAGCTTGAGCTCGACACTAAAGGCACGTAGTCGCTGTATGTTTTCCTTGATTATGATGCAGTGGCCAATTCACCCTTATCTACTCCGTATGTTTACCCACTTGACCAAGTGATCTAATGCAGCACACTATTTTAGCATTTACAAGGCAGTCCTGTCCTGAACAGATTGTGTCAGCGCCACATACTTACGGCTTGAGCCTTGTGGGGGAGAGCTTCACGCGAACCAGCTTTAGCAGAAGAGCCCTGCTGTTAACACGCTGGACTGGTTTTTCCAGTGGCATCAGGCTTAATCAAACAGGTATTGAAGCCTAATGATTCGGAGTTGTATATTAGTCTCTTTTCTGCCAATGGTTCAACTGTGTGAAGGCCAGCGATAATCTTCTAACCTTATATCATTGCTATACTCGAGTATAATGGTTCCAAGAAATATGAGAGATTGGGCAGCTTGAACTAAGATATCGATATCGTCGCAATGCTCCGAACTTGCGGCTGGAGACTAGACCGGAAAGGCGCACAAAGTCGCTAGTTACTCTGTAGTTGAACGGCGTAGCTGGAAGCCAAGACTCGTATAAAAGCCTAGATTTCACAAGCTTTTTTCAGCTTGTGCTTTTGTACTTCTGATGTGGGGCAGCAACTCCAATAAACAAGCAACGATCCCTGCAACTAAATATCTGATGTGCTGTATCAGTAGGCTCCCTTGGGCTGTTACTAAGGACGGAGAAACAGAAAGGGCGTCTTGACGCCTCCGAACCCAATTGAGACTGAATATTGCTAAAGTAGTGCTGAATTTGTGCTCAATTTGGGAACTGAAAATGCTGAAGATCTGACCAAAGAGGGGCTTCAAACTGCGGGCTGGTGCCTTGAAGCTGTGCCACAAGTGCTGCCAAAAAAGGGACACATCAACCACTCAACCAATATCACAGTGCTTGTGGGTTTCAAACCACACCTAATTGATGCATCCCTACTGACTGAAACTGCAAGCAAAGATTAGAAACCGTGGTGTGATTAAGCCGGGAGGCATGTTCCAATTGGGGTTATTTGGATTTCGTCTTGAATTCGTTGCCGGCTATGCCAGAATAGACCACACGCTCAATATGCAAGTTGAAAATTTCTAATTCCCCAAGCAGGATTTCTATCAATTCGTAGACGGTTTCCAGTAAGTCTGAGATGGAGCGAACAAGATTTGAGGTATTTTGATTAGTGTTTGATAGGGCTGTAGTGCGTGGATCCACTTTGCGAATTTGGTGTAATTGGCAACGAATTTCTGCACCGGGCCTCGACCCGGAACAGCGCCTAGCTCGGCAAAGCCATGCCAGTCTCGCGGCTTGGCATCCAGAACTTCACCAACTCTGAGCTACTAGTGAAGTAACCAGGGGAGCACGCAAATCTCTATCCTCGGTGAGACGCCAACTTTCAGATTCCAGACCACGGCCTTAGTACCGGTAACTGGTGGTTTGTCAAATCATCATGGTGACCCGCAGTGACTCGTCAGAAGAGCGCAGTGACCATTGCTTTTCAGCCGTGGCGTTGGGAATATACCCAACCATGACCAAACCGAAGGCTTATGTATCTGGACCAAATGCGAGACCATCTACGCAAGCCCCGTGTGGATTTAATTTGCTTAGGATGAGCAAACCAAATCTGCTGGAGCTCTCGATCAATAATTTCATGAGTATCTGGATCGATTTGCTCCTCAGCCCGGCATTCGAACACAGGGAAATATTGCTGGAGAAGCCCTGCCAGCAGAGCCAACCTTACTTACCACATCTGTCAAACGACAGCTGGATCGTCAAGTCGCGAAACTGTCACAACGGACTTAGATTTGTCATTGCTAAAATAGAGCTGTTTGGTAAGCGTCCAGTGGGTACCTGATCTGAAGGTGCGAAAAGATCCATCGAGCTGATTGAGCCGCAGCGCGAAATGGTATTTCGTTTGTGCAATTCCTCCGCGCATGCTTGTGCCTTGCGCGGGTATAGCCTGTATCAGGGCCGTATAACCAACGCCCGCAATCGCGATAATCTAGTGGAAGGATCCATGCGATGGGTTTCCACCTTTGGAAAGGTCTGTAGCATCCGTTCATGGTACTTGTGCTCATTCATGGCCACGAAGATACCCACCCAGCATACAAATAGTAGCTGCCAAGGGCTGCCCGGAGGCATTAGTAAAGTATGTTGGTGGCTCGGTAACCCGGCCAAGTGTAGTTATAGCAGATTCCCATCGACAGAACTGCTGGCCGTCTTTGCACCAGCAAGATGTGAGTTCAGGCGGGCCACCAATTCTTTCTGTTGGTGAGAGAGGGCGAATATCAAACAAGTCCACGACTTACGACGTAGGCTGCCGCGCGGATTAACAAGGCTATTCTGCTAAGCGGTGGAGCAATGCAAGCTTATCATCAACAAATACGAGACCGGTAGATCAGCTATCTTGTCTAACTAGGCACGAAAGCGGCAAAGGAGGCGCCTGTTTCATCATGGGTAGATACTCCGTAGTAAGCGATTCTTGTTATCAAGTGCCAGGGAACTTTATCTCCAAACACGACATCATTTGATTGATTGATCGATCCCGGAATCTACCGACTCAGACCAACTATGGCACCATTGTCGTTTTCAAGGGTGGGGCCAATACGCTCGCGCCACGGCCGCGCATCGTAGCTCGTTACTCTCGAAAAGTGCTGGACTAGGCGTGTCAAGATATACGAGGCTATGGTAAACGCAAACCTTCCTGGTTTCGAGGTCAATTAGTTGGCGAAAACCCCCTTTGAGAATGAAGTCCGTGCCGACGCAAGGACGAGATAGATAGATGATAGATAGTACTCACGACCAGGGCAGACTCTTGGACCGCGGCTGAAGGGCGCGAAGCCGAGTGGATGTGCCCGCAGCTTTTCCCATCGCTCCGGGGCAAATGCATCGCAATCTTCCCCAAAGGCGTCGCTCATGCGATGACTGGCCCATGTCGAGAAAACAACTTGAACACCTTTCTCCACAAAGATTTTGGAGCTGCCGTCCAGCCCTCCCCCACGGGGTAAGAAGGTATTCTTGTTAGCAGTCCTGTGGTTGAACGGAATAGGAGGAAAGAGTCTCAGCACTATACGTATCAGCCATGGTTCCATGATGGATTCGTTCAGAAGTTTTCATCAAGTCGCTCCCATACCTTCATTAAAAACCTGCTGCATATATGTCAATTGCTTGAGTTGGTCGTACGTTGGGCGCTCGTGCCCGACATTGTCTATTATGCTGGCGCGCAATTTCTGCATTACTCGAGCGTTCCGTGCCAATAGAAAGAAAGTTGTCGAAAGCAGGCCTGCTATAGTGTCTACGCCGGCAAGCAGGGCACTCACCGACTGGTCGACTATTAATGGAACATCGTCAATTTCTTTGCTCAGGCCTCGCACGAACGTATATGGTTGCTGTTGACCACTAGATAGCTTAAGGTCTGAATTGCGCTCCTTCTGTGCGTCGTAGACTGCCTGGATGGCAGACGCTTCACTAAAATTGCGGAGACGTTGGGAAGCCCTCAGAAAAGCACCTCTGTCATAGAAGTGCCGCAGAGGGCCAATGAATGCATCTCGCGTAATTGTTTCCTTGACGCATTCTAAGTCTTCCATAATCTGCTTCTCTTCCGGTGTCTGATCAGAACTCAACGCATTCACAGGCTTGCCGACGGTGAAGGCGAAAGTAGTATCGAGACCTAAGTTGTAGAAGAGAGCATGAATGTCGAATGGCTGGCCATTGTCCGGTACCTTTTTGATGAAATTCTGTACATGCCGCTCAAGGTCGTCGAAATCACATATCAACCGGTTGTTGGAGAACTGCTTGCGATAAAGCTTTCTAGTGTCCTTCCATCGCTGTCCATCAACTGCAAAGATTCCTCGAGGGGCGGGCGCTTCGAAAAGATGCGCTCTCGTGGAGGAGCTATCGTAGTCGGCAAAGGCGGCAGAGAGGATATGGTCGATGTTGGCATGGTCGCAGGTAAAGAGCACATTCTGACCGAGAATTTTGGTAGAATATGTGTTGCCGTACTTTTCAAAGAGCTGGTTGGTGTAGTCAAGTGACGTCTTCCTTCGGAAATTCCGCCCGAGAGTGATGGCTTTGAAGACACCGGTGTGACAATCCAACCATGATCCCTCATGAGGCGCATCTTGGCAGTCATTCAGCTTGGAGAAATGGTATAGCTGATACCGCCAGTGGCATCTACTGAGAATAAAATAGGCCAAAGCCAAGAGAGGTGGCAGGATGACCCAACGATCCAGCATCTTGGTTCCTGAGCCAGAGATTGAGTCTTCCACCTACACAATTTTAACTCCGAGAGCTGTATTCGATGAGAAGGCAAGACAACCAATGGCTGACTGGTGACTGGTGACTGGCGACTGGTGACTGGTGACTGGTGACTGGCGACTGGTGACTGGTGACTGGTGACTGGTGACTGGTGACTGGTGACTGGTGAGACTGGTTGGTGACTGGTGACTGGTTGTGTATTTCCGGGTGCCAACGCTTTGAATATAACTGAAGCAGTAGATGCTGCATGTTTGCCGCTTGGTGACCAAGTTGCCTGCATGGATGTCGGATTCCACAACATGATGCAGCATGGTCGCCCGAAGTAATTAGTTGCATTTTCACCAACTTAGCTCAAAGTCCATCGGATCCCGCTATGAAGCCTTGGCAGCATAGTCGGTTCGAATGGCATACTATTGATTGGTCGCATCTCGACCTCCAGGCCACCATACTACAGTTAGCATCCTTGGACACTCCTCCGGCACAATACAGATTTCTGTTTCGATTGCCAGCAGTTTCAGATTATGCCTGCTACCCAGACCAGTGAGGAGGACCTCTGGTGTGGGTGGCATCCATCGAGGACCTATGAGAGGAGAACAGACAATCGAAAGCGCCTCGGCATGTGTCACATGGGTGCCTGTAGGATTCGAGGAACATCATTGCTTACACTTGAATCGAGCAGGGATAGCAGACAACATCCCTGTAAACGCAGACGTCATCCCTGTGAACGACTCCACCAGGGGGTGTCTGAATTCATTTGACACTATTTGCGCCGAAATTTAGCCGAATCAGTTAACAATTCAACCACTCGTTTTCTACACAAAGTTACTCAATCAATTCAGCAAGATGAGTCCTCCTGCTACTCCGAATACGGCTATAAAGCACAGAGAAGCTGATACTGTGCGAAAATCCCGGTTTTTTGAAGCATTTGATTCTCGAATAGACTCTAAAGAATCTCTTCGCTCTTTTGCTGCCAAACATGGCATTAGCCACCAAACTGCTGCTAATTGGCTCAAGAAACGTCAGATTCAAGGATCTCCGGCTTATCGAAGGACCTGAAAGCTCTTAAAGCGTCTAGGGCGCCCCTCAAATCTCATAAAGGAGCAAATTTACGGCCTTCTTTCTCCTTCGAATCCTGTTCGAAATCAGCATTATGAGCATCAAATTCAGCATTTCAATCTTTCTTGCAAGACTCGTACACTTTAACGAAGTCTCTAACAGCATACAAATCACGCACGACGCTATAAATCTGTACGAATCAAACAAGTCTCATTAAATAATAAGAAAAAGCGTAAAGAGTATAAAGCAGTGCATCAAAACAAAAGTATTAATAAATTTTAGGCTAAAATCTATTTTATAGATAAAGTATATATTAATCTTATAGAGGTCTTTCAATAGTATATTCTATAAGAACAAGGTACTTGTTATAAGCTTAAAAATGTATAGAAATTACTTAAGAAAAAGGGAATAAAGCTTTATATTACTGCTTGGATTAATTGGTATTTAAAGGCTAAAAAATTAGAGTTCTATAATAATGAAAACGATTATCTTAAGCCTCTTAAAAGACCTGGCAAACCGCGTAAGAATTAATATGAAATAAATAAGTAATTTGAACAGCGTTTGATTAATTAAGAGGCTACTTTACCTCATGCAGTTAAAATGAAACCCAAGGGTAATTCAATGACTCAAAAATACTGAGCGCCTTCTACCTGCAATGGCTCGAAACTAGAAAAAGTCAATAGTCCATAGATTGCTAAAACGTAAGCTGAGGAGTCTATCTACAGTGCGGCCAGCGCTCTACTCTATATACTCCTCCATCGAACACAAGGGATGCTACTAGTTAACCTGCGCGGAGGATCCGACGGAGTATCTGCAGGGCCAGAAGCGGTAGCTTCCCTCTGGAGGAGATTGTACTTTCCTAAAGGGGTCGTATCAATCTCCGGTTCCATAGTACTCGTACGGGGAGCCACGTGCCGTACGGATGCCTCTATCGGCGGCATAGTAGCTTGACGGCAAGAGTTCCGCGTGCCGTTGTGGATACGCCATCGGCGCTGCCATCCGAGTGCTGCCATCCGAGTGCGTGGCTGGTCCCGTGTATTTCCTGCGCCATGGCAGAGGAGATACTCCATCCATCACACTACCTATCTATATCAGAGCTATTCAAAACGCACGAATCTCTTATGGACAGGATGCTATTCTACAAGAGGATAATGATCCTTCTCATGGTACAAAATCTGAGCTTAACATTGCTAGACAGCTCAAGGATAGCAATTGGATAACTGTACTTGTTCATCCTGCTCAATCGCCTGATTTAAACCCTATGGAAGCTATTTGGGGCATTTTGAAACAGCGAATTCGAAGAAGAAGATGGGATAATCTTGATCAGCTCAAAGAGGTCTTGCAAGACGAATGGAGCAAAATTACAATGCAGGAGGTTCAAGCGCGTATTGCTGAGATGCCTTCTCGATGCAGAACTCTAGCAAATTCGGATGGGAAAGCCATAAGGTCATCGTTGTGGTGAAATGGCGATGATTTTGTACATAGGAGTAACAATTGTCCATTTCGGCTAAATTTCGGCGCAAATAGTGTCAAATGAATTCAGACACCCCCTGGTGACTCGGCCGAACAGTGATAGTATTGCAGCTTTCCAAGGCTTTTATCAGCCAATACTACCATCGCTGCAGACCGTCTTATTCAAATTTGTCAGCTGTGTTACCGTCTTTGGGAAGTGGATGCTCTTGCAGGTTCTACTTTGTATTTCATTTTTTTCTTGGATAGATTGCACAGTAGCTAATACAGAACCAATCTTCTCATCCCTTGTGTTCGAAGCGTCCAAAGCACTCCCTCGAGATGCTGTTACAACACTTACCTGACTTGGAGGTGTCTCTCATTCTCAACACGTTGATGCTGCTTGCCGTAAGCGTACCTCATTACCTGTTCTACAATCTCTTCCTGGCCGGCAAGATACCCGGAGGACTTCCGTGGGCTGGATCGGAAGGTAAAGCAGTCTTCTGGCCATTCAGGTTGGTAGCTGCGGCTCTGAGAGAATTTCCCGGCACCGTGGTGAGTGCTCACACCAAGTTCCGTTTTAAAAATTAAGGGTCTCTGACCTGGCAATCTTTGGAAAGGCCATTTGCTCACAATTGGGCTGCTTGAAAACGCCTGACTGATCAGACACAACCGTGAAACCAGTTCTTGACTCAGGGTAGTGCCTACGTGTTATCCACGTCCTGGATGGACCTATCATAATGCTTCCTCACCAGAATTCGATGGCTCGTTGTGGAGCGCTATCAGCTGAATGCATGAATTGGTGGTGTGTAGCTGTCTAGAAATCTAAGATGCAAAAGTTCGCATGAATAGCTCCCTGGGCGCCAAAGCCCTTCGGCCGGAAAGCCCCACATCGTGGCTCAGCCATGCAGTTAGTCAAGTTCCTGGACGCTGTTCCCCTCCAATCCGACAAAACTCAGCTGGATTACTACTATGTTGTGATCGACAAGCTTGTTGTCAGCAACCCGCTCTATGAAAGTTTGTGCTCGAGGTTTATGCAGCGCCAGCACGCATCCGCCGACTGCGAATTTACCGGTATGCGAGAAGAACTTCAGCACTCGTGGGGTTAGGCTGTGGACCTTGTTGATACCAATGGGTGGAAGTCTACATGTCTCTTCCCAGCGATGAAGAAATCTGTCACTACTGGAGCTATCAGAATCTGGGTAGCTATCCACAATGTAAGAGCTTCTGATAAGATGTTAGATTCATGTCCATCTGCTCATAACTAACCTGCCCCAGGTCGCGACCAGAGTTACTCGGCGACCATCTCATCCTACACCCAGTGGTTCCTTCCAGCTGCTATAACCATTAGAATGCCCCCTCACTTCGTCCGACCGCTCCTGGGGCGTATTTTCAGACCGATACTGCAACGACACCTTTAACCCGTGGTCCTTGGTTCATCCACGTTGGTGGATTGACAGCGAACCTAGCAGGATGGCACTGGGTAAGCTTTCCGTTAGAGGCTCCGAGCAGCCTTGAACAGCCTGGCCAAATTCTCGGGCGAAACTGTTGATCTGACTCATGGAACAATTGGACTGGCCTGAGGGTAGTGTCCTGCAGTATTCTTGCACGTCAAAATTCCAGAAAACAGAGGGCCAGATTACGATTGTGGGACTGAGCAATGATCAACCGAGCTGTTCCTAGATTTCGTTCGCTGAAGGAGGAGAATCGCCTTCTCTACCCCCGTTCCGCTCCCTTTCGCAGTCGAAATCAATGCTCGCGTGTTTATAATTGCCGAAACAGTTGCTGAAACAGACGGGTCTCCACCGGATTTCGGCCCAATGTCGCCCGGCTATTCGAGTGTTCACGATGTTGATTCTGCCAACCCAGATACGGACCATGTAGCATCTTCTTTCTCCGTGGAGGGTTCCGGAGTCATGCAAACGCATTCGAAGGGAGAAGGGATAGACTCACGAGCCGGAAATATGGTTCCCGCTCATTCATTATTTGAGTGAGAGGAACGTCCATGCTCGTGCGAGGGCACCTGATTGGTACTTAGCATGGGCCTGATCATTCCTGAGACGGGATCAAGGCGCTGACGATATCCAATATTGCCGTGCTGCCCTTCTGCGAGCAATATTTGAGGAAAAAAGGCAGCTACCATTGTAAGCAGCCGTTGTTCCTGGTGTTGAACGTTCCCAGATCTATCTACAGCACCTTTCGAGGCTTCTTGATGACAGAGTTGATGAAAAACTATTGAAGCGGACTGAAGGCAGGCGGAGTCAAGCCTAAGCCATACTCAGCCAAACTCAGCCAAACTCAAGTATCTTCGAGTCATATAGATAAATCATGTATAACTTCTCCTGGTAGGTGCTATCTGCATTGCTCGGCTCCGTTCTTGATAAGATCAGCACCCTTCTCCGCAATCGCGAACACCGTCCCAGCAAGATTGGCCCCAACAATGACGCTCATGACACTGGCATCCACGACGCGCAGCCCCTCGACACCATAGACCCTCAACTGCTCATCGACCACACCTCCCAGCTCCAACGGCATCATGGCGCAGGTGCCAGTGGGGTGCATCGCGGTTGGCTCCGTGTTCCGCCGCATGTACGCCACCCAGTCCTCTCGAGCCGTCACATTCAAGCCGGGTGATGTTTCGACGGGGTCGAACTGCGCCAGGAGTGGCGACTCTACGTTGATGCGGCGATGGAACCGCGCCAGCTCCAACATGATGTCGAAATCGACCGGGTTACTGTAGGTGCGGTAGTCGACAATGGGCTCGGACTCGGGAGCTGAGGTGTTGATGTTGACGGTGCCGAGACTCAGCGGATGTTCGTAGGTGAAGTAGTTGACGGGTTCATCACCCGAGAAGTAGTGGCTGTAGAAGACGTTGTTGCTGCGTCGAATTGCTTCGGCCAGGCTGACCAGCCGCGCCTGGTATCCTGCGATCACGGTCGGATCTGAGCCGGTCGGGAGGTAGTCTGCGGCATTCTGTGCGTCGACCTTAGCAGCAATAGATTCGTATGCCTCGGGCGCTACCACTGGCAGTCCAAGCCATGCACCGGTGTTCCAGAGTGCACGAGACCATGGCCCAGTCCGATTCGCGGCCCACAATTCGTCTGCCCATGTGATGAAATCCGGGTCATCAAAATCATCCCGTCGGTTGGGACGGGTGGAATAGTTCCGGACTGCGTAGTAGAGTTAGCTTCCACGAAAATGGCATGAACTTCTGCGTGCCAACTTGCATTGAATCTCAAAATGGAGAGCGGTGTGGTCTTGGAAGTTCTGCCCGACACCGGGAAGCTCGATCTTGGTTTCGATCCTAGCGCTCTCCAACAGCTTACGAGGACGGATACCACTCAGCTGCAGTAGCTGTGGGCTGTGGATAGTACCTGCGGAAAGAATTATCTCCTTGTTCGCCTTCACCGTGGTAAATTCGTCATCTCCACCGTCTGCTTGGCTAGGTCGGAACACGACGCCGGTGGCTTTGTTTCCATCGAGCTCGATCTTGGTAACCTTTGACTCGGTGATGAGGTGATAGTTTGCTCGGTTCAGACCGTCCCAGTGTCCCGTTCGAGAATACGACCTGTTGAGGGAACCTTCAGCGTCCACTACAATTTCTAAGTGAGTAAAATGTTTCGTTCAGTGTTACAAGGATTCTTGGGGTTATTCTGAATCGTGTTTCTGGTGCTAGAATACCAGAAACGCGCTCGATTAGGCAATTTGTGCGCGCAATTTGAGCCAAAAGCAGAAAGGGAGTATATCTGGAAGCTGCTCACTGTATGTCGGGTACCAGTAGACGCCTGTCTGGCCTGCTCCACTGTCCTCAGGAACGCCAACACCTGGCAGCTTTGTGAACACCTCAAATTGGTATTCTGCGAACAGTGAATTAGCATTATCTCCGAATGCAGCCACACTTGTTCTTCTCACTAATTCCCGGCCATTGGAACGACGGCCATCCTGCGTATAATCTAGAGGTGGTGCCCCAATAAGATTCATCGTACTTGATGCCGGGCATTTGGTCTGCAGCTTCTTTGGGTGGTGGTTGGAAATGCAAACCCTAAAGACCAGATGTCAACAATACCGTCACTCAGTATTGAAGAAGTGACTCGCCTTTATGAAGTACGGCAGGACTCCATCCCAAGACCAAGTAGAGCTGCCGCCGAAAAAGCTGCCCCACCTATCATAGTCATCCGTCGTGCCCCGAACACACTGCATGCCGTTGAGAGCAGAACCGCCGCCAGTGACACTTGCTATGATGACGGCTGATTCCCGGTTTTCCAGCTCCGTGTTTGGAGCGGAGGTAATGTTGTAAAGCCACCAAGGCTCGGCGTTCCATGACACCCGGTCACGAACATTGTTGATTTCATCCGAGTCAGCTAGAGCGCAATTGGTCAACGTACCTGGATCTGGAACCGAGAAGGGCCTGTGAATGAAAATTGCTTACCAAGCTCGCCATTCTCAATCACAAGTACTGTAGCTAAGATAGAAGATTAGTACGGAGGCTGATGGTGCCGGGTTCGCGTTGGTCCTGACTTACTCTTGCCATCTTCGCTCAGTCTATCTCCAACAGTCAAGCCTGCTGTACCCCCGCCTATGATCACATAGTCGTAGGACCCGCTGAGAGCTTCTGGCCCGTCCAAAGCTCGTGTATATATCGTTGGGACATGGAGGGTTGCTGCTGGTGAACAGCTCAGGAGTGCCGCAAGTGTAGCCAGAAAGCCAAGCTGAGAGGGTAGAACCATGCTGATCGTTGAAAGAGAGCCGCAGATTCCTTTATTGCAGCTTACCACTATGGTGGTGTCGTTGTGAGCAAGAGGGAAACAAGTCCGACTTATGTAGAGATGCTGAGGCGCGCGGCGGCATCCTTTCAGCGGGACTAAGATTCAGCTCGCCCCGGACTTGCTGTTGTTCTTGGCTTCTTCGTCTACATAACGTCCGAGCGTCATCTGGATGGGACAGGTTGACCGGCCCGGTGGTCAGCAGGATAGAATCCTTCGGCCCTGGCAACGCTCGCATGTCCAATATAAGGAGAAGTAACACATTCAGTGACACGGAATAAAATAAATTCAAAAAGATATTAACGAATTAAAGAATCTATTATTTTTCAAAAGAGAAATTTGCCATTTATACATCTGAAGCTGAAGATGACACTCTGATCTCTGAAGACAGAGCTCTTTGAGAGAGAGAACAACTGTTACACCGCAACCTAACCGAACGAACTAACCAGAGCTACACAGGCGCCAAGCCTGCGAGCCCTGACTAGATATGAGAACTCGCGAGCTTACACATTCTGAGTACCAGGCCGCCAGACCTTCGCGTAGAACTGACAGAAAAATTTAGAGACGACAGACGCGGGCAAGTTATGGCTCGTTAATCATAGCCAGGGGCTCAGCAGTGGGACTGAGTATGGGTGAAGTGAGGCTGAGGCCTGTGGGCAGTACCGGGATGGTAGGTGGACAACTTCGGACTCGAGTGACGCTGCGGCCTGAGCAGAGGCTTAGCCGAAGTTGAGCCGGGTGACTAATTACTGAGTAAGGCAGCAAACCCAGCCAACCCAACAGGGTGCTAAGGCGCGGTCAAGATTCGGGTTCTAAAGTTACTTACAACATGCTTGTCTTTCAGAGCACTGCTGAGAATTCTTTCTACACCACAGGCTTGTCCTAGTCGCTAGGTTGCGACATCCATGATTAAGATGCTAGTGGCACGCATCCTTCTCAATTACCATATGAAATTCGTAACGGCGAAACCCAAGATCATCCTTGTCACCATCCAGGTGCCCATCCTCGTTCCCATCCAGATCCACCCCCTCGTCCACTTCCTGGTCTAACCCCCGGCCCTCTTCCGCGGCCACCTCCTCGTCCACTTCCCTCCTCCACTCCAGGTCCGGTCCATGGCCCCCTTCCGCGCCTACCTTCTCGTCCACCACCTCTGCCTCCTCCAGATACCCCTTCAAATCCTCCCTCAGATCCCCCTCCCCGCCCACCTCCAGGCCCGCCTGCTGCTCTATCCTCTTCGCGTAAAAAGTAAGCTGGTAGAGGATCGAGATCAAAAGCCAGAGAGTATGCAGTCGCCAGTCTGTTCGCTTCAAAGTACTTCCCCTGATCATGATACGTCTGGAATTGATAGTAAGATCGGAACAAGGCAAGGGCAGGTAGCCAATTGACATAGAAGACAAATATTTCCGCCTCATCGGGCGTCGCTGTGGCAGTCACTATTCGGCATATTGCTTGATCTGTAGAAGATGAAAACGAAAGAGGTTAGTCACTTGTATTTAGAGAAATGACAGTACGGGATATTGGATACAAGTGGGCAATTAGACACGCACCTAGATCCTGGTATAGATCGGCATTTTCGGGCGGGCTCACTCGCTTTCTATCTCGGTGGTAGATTGACCATAGATTTCTTACACGTTCTATTTGATCGAAATGTAAAAGGAGAGCAAGTTCTTTTTGTGTCTTATTTGAGGCCCGCCATTGTAGCCACTGTTGCTGTATACGCTGTTCTACAAGCAGAGCTTCCTGCCGTTTTGCCTCTCGCCGTACGCGTTGTTCTTCGTGCTGCTCTTGGTCTACATGTTGCTGGGTTTGCTGCAAGGGTTGCAGAGGTTGCAGGGGTTCTTGTGGCGGCGGTGGTTGCCGGGGTTGCCGGGGTTCCTGTGGTGGTGGTCGCAGTGGTGGCGGTGTTTGCTGTCGTTGTTGTCGTGGTTGCTGTTGCTGTCCGGGTTCTTGTGGTGGTGGTAGTGGTGGTGGTCGCAGTAGTGGCAGTGTTTGTTGCTGCTGCTGATGTTGTTGTTGTCGTCGTAGTGGTTGTTGCTGCCGACGCTGCTGCTGTTGTTGTTGATTCATAGCTTGCCAAATGCTTATTTACGGTTTAATCTGTGATATGGTTTCAAGTCAAGCCTTGACTCGAAGAATAGTGATCAACTTGATAATTGGAGCTAAAGAAAACTCCAAAAATCAGGGGATATATGATAAAATGTTGTAATGTCTTGTAGCAAGGATATCACTGAGACACCATGATCATATTCACTGCAGACTGATGTTTGGAAAGTGTATCAAGAAACAAGCAGATGCAGGTTCTACATATTAACATCACTTGATGCGTAGAATGCAACAGAAGGGAGCAATGGAGTCAAATGGGACGGGAGAAAGATTTAGTTCGGAGAGTAAAGAAGATAGCAAGAGTCTTTTAAGACTGAATCAGACCACATTGTACGTACATTTACAGGATCAAGCGACAGGAGGCGACTTGAGGACTTGACAATCTTTGCAATTTCACTCATATATCAGCAGGTGAAAAAGGAATAAGGATCAGTGATAACAGATCTCAACCTTTCATACACCTCACATATAAAAGCTAGTACTAGACAATTCGAGTATGTTGGTCAACGGTGATCAAAGGAAGTGCTTGGGTGAGAATGAATGACAAGGAACACTCTAAAGAGCGGTGCCAGAGGTTGAAAGGATAAAGTATAAAAACAAGTTGCCACATTGACGGTTTCGTGTCTGGAAAAGGTGGAAGACGCGGGAAAAACAGTGCAGCGAGGCGGACAGCTTGTGTTATGCACGCCGACCTCACACATTGATACTGGTGGGCGATGATGGTGACAGGGGACTGCATTCTGCACTTCCGACCGTCAAGTGTTGGCACATGGGTGGGTGATGGAGCTCCGCTGCTGGCCTGCCGCGTAAATATTTAACAAGCAGAATTGATATAATGACACCCGCTCTTGATGCCCAATTTCAAGGTCTATTCACCATTCTCCTGCTTTCTCAGTCCGGGTGGGTGAAAAGGAAGTGTAAATTATTTCAGACTGACTGAAGCGCTGATCCCCTAAGCGGTATGCTACTCTCCGGGAATGGAAGTCTCCACTATGATCATCAACGTACGTCCCGTAATGACCTCGTCTCTAAAGGCACGACTATGACTGCAGGCCGTAGTGACTACGTTCCAGTTATGCCTTCAACACCACCTATTTGTGTCCACCTATCATTCTTCTTCAATGCCTGCGGTTGACCAGCTTCATTGAATCTCCCATCAACGCCCAACTAACGCCCTCGGTAATGCCCATTTCAAAACCTCCTTTCAACGGCATCCAAAAAACCCCCAGTAAGGCCCATGTTTTATCCTAGTATCAATACCTAGTTACTAGATACATGCACATTAACTCTCAAATGCATAAGGCAAAAGCTGATAACAGCAACAATAATGGTGATAGTAAGGAACACCAAAGCAGCATACACGCCGTAGTAGCATTCCATCTTGAGGGTCTGAATCTAACGTTTGGACCAGCTAATTGACAAAGATTGCTTGAAGAGGCTGTGCTTCTGCGATACATGAGAACAGATATATTGGTGGGCTTTCAAGTCCATATGGCGGCGAGTTAGCCTAGTGACAAATCAAGCTGTACGAATCCGTTCAGTCAATTTCTTCTGACTTCAACACCTGAAATAAAGCAGGTATGTGTCCTTACTCCACTGAGCTCCCTGTCAGCATGGCAAGAGAATGCTTGTATGAATCATGTCTAGGGCACCAAGGGAGAAGAAAGGCGTCGGGCTTGGGAAGCTGAGGCACACAAGATAGAGGATATTATTCTGTAGCCTGGCATCGAGGAGCTTATCCATACAGACCATCCCATTCCTCTTCCTCATCTTCCGGCTTAGCATTCTTCTTGATATCCTCCAAATGCTTCTTCTTTCTCTCTCGCTCCCTCTTCCCTAGATCTACCCTATCCAATGGACATGTTCCTCTTAGCCTCAACCACGGCCTCACACACTCCAGATCAAAGATGTGACTGGAATGACACGGAAGGCGTACGAGCAGCGGATGTGGATCGTCTGAAAAAGGATTTCCACAGATTGGACAATCATCTTCTTTTCTGACTTTCTTGATGCTGACTCGCTCCAAGCCCGCGATGTATTCTTCGTCCACTCCTTCGACTTCTCTTGGTGGTCTTTCTGCCGAGCTCATAAGGGACTCTATGAGTGAGTCTAGGAGCTCAGAGTCTGTGTCTCCGCTATCGCGACGCATGACCCCGAATGCGTCCGCGAGGTTGCGGAAGGCAGCGGAGACTTCATTGGGGACTGGCACTGCGTGTTGGCGAGTGCGAGGGACGGAGGTGTCTGGAGTTATCTGCGAGAGGGTAGAAAAGAAGGTGGAAAGGTCTGGACGCCGGGGTCGTTCGCTGGGGTTGGTACTGGGAGGGTCGATCGCATGCTCAACTAGTCGAGTGCTGGTTAGAAAAGCTTCAATAAGATTGATCGGGATGGTTGACAGATACTTTCGTAGCTTGCCATGATTGTGCTTCTTCAGGGTGACCTGGGCAAAACGTGAGCGTGAGCGTGATCTCGGTAGAGCGGCCAAAGCCCCTGAGGTTGTAGACCGAAGAAGTTCTAAACAGTATGTATCAACGGTTGCATGGAGACGAGGATTTTGAATACTGCAGACGTGAGATGTTAGGCAGAGAATGATGGCGTATGCCAGATCTGGAGTGACCGCTCTCGCAAGACGCTCCCGATCCTTATGACCAACCTTACCGTGGACCTCGAAACTGTTTGGCGATGCTATCATTCTATTGAAACAGGGGCCTGCAATTCGCACTGCTCGATGAACTGATCAGGCATTGCAATTCCGCTGTGCTGGCGGAAAGAGCTTCTTTTCATCCACCAGAAGGTTGCTTCCTGATCGAGTCAAGCGTGGATATCTATCTTCCCTTCTGCTTCCTTTCCAGACCCCACAAACAACATCACCTCCACCCAGTGCATAGCCCTAGAGATGCTGGGGTTTCAATGGAGGCGGACTGGGACGAGATCACGAGGATCGTGGTGCCTCCAGGCCCACATATGCTTCCAACTCCCGCGTCTACAATAGCATTCGACGACACCCAGGAGCTTCTATGGATTGGCAACGACCACGTCAGTCTTTCTAAGATCCTCACAGTCCTCAAGCTCACGGATGTAGGGCAGAGTGACTGCATTCTATGGTCCGGAATTACAACGATATGTCTCGGTCAAGGCACATATCAGCGAAGGACCTGTCAGACAATTTCTATTCCACGAGCGAGGGGTCCTGTCAATCGCTGCTAACAGTGTGCATCTGGTTTCTCGAAAGGGCCTGACACAATGGCATCTCAACCATCCGAGCATGATCGACCTGCGTTGTATGAGCTTCACATCCAATCCAGGCCAGATCCTTCTTGCAGGATGTCAATCCGCCATGCTGGTCGTTGATATTGACAAAGGTCAGGTGGTGTCTCAGCTGCCATCAGAAGCTAGCTATACGATGATGAAGAGAAGTCGCTACATCTGCGCAGCGACAGAGGCTGGTGCAGTTAACGTGCTTGACACCACCGATTTCACGATTTTGAAATCATGGAAGGCCCATGGAACAGCAATCAACGACATGGATGTGCGAGGTGACTTTCTCGTAACCTGTGGCTTCTCTGTTCGCCATCTTGGAGCATCAATAGTGGACCCTCTGGCAAATGTCTATGACCTGAAGAGTTTCAGCTCTTTGCCCCCTCTTCCTTTTCATGCAGGTGCTGCTTACGTCCGCCTACATCCTAAGTTACAAACAACAAGCTTTGTTGCCTCACAAACAGGGCAAATGCAGGTAGTTGATTTGATGAACCCAAACTCCGTCGATCTCCGTCAAGCAAACGTCCAATATATGCTGGGTATCGAGGTCTCACCCTCAGGTGATGCTCTGGCCATTATCGATGCCGAAGCTTCTATACACCTCTGGGGCTCTCGATCAAAAGTGCAGTTCAGTAAGCGGCGTCAAGAAACAGAATTCGGGGAACCTCAGGCAGATCGCGCCCCGTTCGTGGATTGGAAAGAAATGCCATTGAACACGATTGGAATGCCTTATTACCACGAACGCCTTTTGTCAGCATGGCCAAGCCATATGGTCTTTGACGTTGGTGCTCCACCCCCCCAGATAGATCCAAATCTTGTCCTTCAGCCTGCGGAAATGGGCTTCTATGCGCCGAATTCCAAACAGTCGCTACGGTATCAAGTGGAAGACACCCGTGCAAGTCAGCTTGGCTCCTCGATGGCCGCTCCCAAGTTTCTTAGTGAAAAGGCGAAAGCAATTCCAAATAATATTGCCCGGAGGATGTCTGATGCAGCAGAAGCACTTGCAGGCGCCACCTTGACCAGTCCTACTGACGAGGACCCCATCATCAAGTACAGCAATGTCGAAATCAAGTACAGTCGATTCGGAGTGGATGACTTCGACTTCCGGTACTACAACAAAACGTCCTTTTCCGGATTGGAGACCCACATCGCAAACTCCTTCATCAATGCTATCCTTCAGCTCTATCGCTTTGTCCCTGTGGTTCGTAATCTCGCCTTGCATCATGCTGCCACAAGCTGTATTGCTGAGAACTGCCTGCTTTGCGAGCTAGGTTTCTTGACTGACATGCTCGAGAAAGCAGCGGGACAGAATTGTCAAGCCACCAATCTACTTCGCGCTTTCAGTGCCTCTCGTGAGGCAGCTAGCCTTGGTCTGTTGGAAGAAAGCACCCTTGCAAGTGGCGTGTCACTGTCATCCACCATCCAATCGGTGAATCGCTTTCTCCTGAAACAATTCGCCCAGGACTTTCGAAACTTGGTGGGTAGTTCCGATGACGTGGACGCTGTCGTTGCTACTGGTGCTTTGGAATCGATTGGGTGTATGTATTGTGGCAACGAGATCACACGTCCGGGCACGTCGTACGTTAACGAATTGGTCTACCCTCCACATCCACCCAGTGACCCGAAAAATGTGCTGCGAAATCCAATCTTCAAGTTCTCCGCAATCCTAAAGGCTTCTATAGAACGTGAAAGCAAGAATCGAGGTTGGTGCAATAAATGCCGCCGCTACCAACAACTCTCGATCCACAAATCCATTCAACACTTACCCTTTGTCATGATGATCAACGCAGCTCTAACCAATCCCGCCATGTGGAGCTTATGGGAGATGCCTGGATGGCTCCCTACAGAAGTCGGTGTTCTTGTTCAAAATAGGAATGTGTATTGCTTCGAAAATGCAGATCTAGGACTGCATATCCGAAACAAAACACCTAATCTTGTGATCTACGAGCTGGTTGGCTTTGTGGCAGAGATCGACGTGGCTGATCATCAGCGCCCTCACCTCGTCAGCTTTATCAATGTCGACGTATCGTCTAATGAACAGAATGCCGTACAAAAGCCCAGGAGTGCTAATTGGCATCTGTTCAATGACTTCCTTGTTACTCCGGTCACCGACAAGGAGGCTCTTCTCTTCAATCAGGGTTTCAAGTTACCATGTGTTTTGTCCTATCAGATCAAGTCGGCGCACGGGGCAATCGATCAGAGTTGGAAAGAGAATCTAGACTCAGTTCTTCTGTTCCACCAGTACAGCATCAATGGTGGCCGTCCTGCAGCAGATTGCCATATTCTAGGTCCTGAGGAAAAACCTACGCAAGGGACGCCAATCGCACTGGATACTGAGTTTGTGGACCTGGAGAAGGCAGAGATTGATGTCAAAGCGGATGGTACACAAGAGACCATTCGTCCAGCCAAGTCGGGATTAGCACGTGTAAGCGTTCTGCGAGGAGCCGGTGAGGCAGAAGGCGTTCCATTCATCGACGACTATATCACCATCAGGGATGCCACGATTGTGGATTATAAGACCCAATACTCTGGCATTCGCCCAGGTGATCTAGATCCTCGGACCTCGTCACACAATCTGGTTCCACTCAAGGTTGCATACAAAAAGCTATGGCTGTTGTTGAATCTGGGATGTGTTTTTGTTGGCCATGGTCTTGCCTCTGACTTCCGAAAGATCAACATTCAAGTACCAAAAAGCCAAACAGTTGATACTCAATACTTGTACCTGGTCCCGGGGAAGAATCGCCGATTCTCACTCCGCTATCTGGCGTGGGCGGTATTCAAAGAATTCATTCAAGAGGAGAGCGCTGACGAATCTACGATAGACGGCCACGACAGTATCGAGGATGCTCGCATGGCCCTTCGACTATGGCGAAAATTCCAAGAATACCAAGATGCTGGCATCGTGGAGCAGATGGTTGAAGAGATCTACAAGAAAGGTTTTAGATATCAGTGGAGACCGCCTGCACGAGATGGTGCCCTGACTGGCGGCAATAGTGCCGTGGCTAGTGGGAGGAATACCCCAGAAGTTGGAGCGATCAGTGCCCCTGGCACACCTGCCAGAGGTTTTCGATTGAGCGCTGCCAGTGCAACTGCCTTTGCCCCTCGTTCGGATGCTAGCAGGAGCGAAGGATTCGGTGGTAGTCCACTCAGATGACCGGTGAAGGCAGCATTCACTACCTGTTATGATCAGTCTACGCAGCGTTATTTTGGCCCGCAGGTACAAGACTTTGATCATTGAGTTACCAGTCACCAACCAGGAGTCTACATGATATCTTCATTCCTTGGCGACCCGTTCATGGATGATCTTTGGTTCGACCCATGGTCTTGAAACCATCTGGACGCATATGTATGCAGGGAACCGCGCGGGTGGTGACCTGGATGCACAGAACGCCAACCCATGGTGCTATGTTGGCATCGAGCAGACCTGATCTTACTATCAGCTCTACTTCTGACCTCGGAAACGAACGATGGGCAACGCTCTATTTACGCCACTGTGGCACAATATCAAAGTTATTTCCGATTTTCTGGACTGAGTATCTCTTCTCGCGTGACTCGGTATAACACGATTTCAGATCTGACGCACCGAAGGCTAGGTTTCTCTCTTCACCGGTTCTTTGTGCTTGAGTGCTTATCTCCCTTCGCCACTCTAGTCTCCTTACAATATCCGACATTTCAGAGTAACACACCTGGTGAGTGGTCACGCCTCTTACAAATACCCGTTTCTGGAAATGATATTCTCCTGCCTCTTTCGTCTGTTCAGCCGAGACATCTTAACACTTTCACCTTTGTCTTTTTGCATAAATCTCGGGTAGTTCCCCCTTTTACAGATATCGTAATTTGGTCATGTGAAGCTAGCGTCACATTTTCAATCTGCTTTCAAAGCCCTTGCGCTACCAAACTACGCCACTACAATACAGCGGCATCAGTGTGAGTGCACGTCAAATTCGTGACACCCATCGAGCAAGCCATTGTCTACCAAAGAGACTCCAAGGTCGACTTGACCAATACGTTCAAACTAATCCAACCACGCGACAACCATTTACCAGGCAGAGGATAGCATCAACATCACCAACTACCCAGCCCAACCCCCATCCGGCTTTATCCCTTTTGTAAGAATTCGGACCATGAATTCCAACCTTGGGATCCTGTTCCTCCTCATGCTCTTCACTGGCCTGCCTCTCCACTTTCTCCTTGCCCTTCCCTTTGCGCTCGCTACACCGGTCCCAGCGCCCCCCGTGCCGCTAGACTGGCCGGATCAGAAGCCCACACATACCCACAAACCCCTCCTGCCTCCGCCTCCGCCCCGCAATCTAGAAGACCACCGTTTTCCACCTTTAGATTGCGGTGGTGCGACCCATAAGCATGGATTTGCTGCAGGTTGTGTTCGGAGGGAGAGGGACGTCTATATGGTAGAGGGGAAGAGAGATGAAACGGTGGTGAGGGTACCTGAGGGAGGGTTGGGGAGGCCTACGGTATGTGCATGTCCTCTGATCTACCCTCAGTTGCCGCATACAGGGACTCCTCTGTCAGTGCTTCCGTTCCACAGAGACAACAGAAACGAAACGTCCAAGGCATTCGGTGGGTTCAGGGCACGGGCGCGGGCTGATTATTGGTTTCTAATCTAGGTCGGCGGAAGGCTGGACCTCAGTGTGGATCCGAATCGACATCCTACCAGTCAGTTGTTGAAGGAAGAAAGCAAGAAGAACAAGTAAAAGAAGAGGATAAGAGATTCGTCTGGAGGAGTTTGGCGCGCGGAGGACAGGGGGATTTTGTCCATCCAGGCTATGATGTTAGTTGCTTTTCAACCAGAGGCATAGCAACCACATTATACGCTGTCTTATCGATGCTAGACTATCGTCATAGCTGGGTCGGGTACAGAAGAAGGGCCGCATGCTGTGACCTTTCTGTTTCAGGCACCCAGGGGGGAGAGATATTACGCGATACAAGGGATGGTAACGGAGGAGGAAATTGGACATCTACCCCGAAGCGCCCTTCTACACTCTCTTACGCACGTTAGATCCGGCCAGCGTCTTCTTTCGGTAGTCAGTTACGTTTTCAATCGAACAAGTCCAGTTGCGTTTACCGCTTTATCTTTGGTTTTTCCTTGCAATGTTTGGTTGGTTGATTGATTGACTGGTTAATACTGGGCTTCATCGCCGCAGCATTTACCTGGGTTGGAGTTGCTGATTGGTTGGGGCTTTGTTTGGTCTCGGAAGCTCTACTACGCAAGTTGGGATGGAATGGCTTTTGTAGGGTGCTAGCATGGTAGAAATTGGTGGGTAGGATGGGGGCTGGCGACTTGTCTGCACTCCAACTGTAGTTTCCAACTGTAGTTTCCAACTTCCAGTTCCAGGATATGGGACGCTGTTTTCGGCGGTCTTTGCTGCTGCTTTTGACACCCCTTTTGCACTTTCCTAAACAGAAACCCCCTTTCTATGTAATCACTTACCCGTACTATATATACTTAGCGCCAGCATTTTCCCCTAATTTAGCTCATTCACTTGATCAATTTTTTCTGGTTGGGACTTCAATTTACTCACCACTTCATGTCGAAGCGCGAAATCTGACGAGGGTTTGGAGAAAGCGTAAAGCCATGCGATACCACTGAGGTGTCAGAATCTTAGAAAGCTTTCACCATCAGAAACAACCACAATAATGCTCTCCGAGAAAGCCAATTGCCCACCCTGCGAAGCCAAGGGGAACACTGCTTCTACTCTTTTGCGTTGCCAAGGCTGTCATGTCACCCATTATTGCGGTCGAGACCATCAAGTAGCGGACAGGGAAAGCCACAAGCGGGTATGCAACGCCATCAAGAAGGCGCAACAGAAGCTCGACCACGAAGAGACGGCTTTACGCAACCAGCCACCTGATATGTTCAAGCCTGCGAGAATCTTCGAGGAACATGCTGGGCATTTCTGGGGCATAATGGGGACACGAAACTACATGAGAGCGCGTTATGGCCTCATTGAAGCTCTTTTGCAGGTCAAGACCTATGCCGCCGTCAAGGCTGCCCATGATCATGCCATGGACTGTCTTCGCCTCTGTCGTTCGGATAACATGGGGGTTCGGGATATGCTTCCTGCCTTGAAGCTTCGACTTGGGCAAGATCAAGAGTGCTATGATTTCATCAAGTGGTATGCTACTACGGGTTCGGATGGTAAATATGACTGGGGCGATTTGGATAATCCATTCCTCGACCTCAAGGGAGAAGATGTTTTCGAGACATTGCCGGCCAACACGACCCATCGATATGGCGATCTCCCACATACTGTTGCTCTCACACTGCTCAAGCTTCGATTGAAGCTGGACCTCCGTGATCTACAACGATCATCAATCATCGGAACCCAAGTTCCACAAGAGATCATGGACAATATCCGCGAGCAAGCTGTGGGCAAGATTGTCTCGCGGAGAAAAGACATCATGCGCGCAACGGATCTGACGCTGTTGAGCAGGGAGCTCGATGAGCAAATCCAGGCCCTGATCAGGGGGGTGGAGGCACAAAACTCACACTTCTGGCACGGCTTGTTGCGACCAGAAAATGATTTGACCACACGTTTCGAAGCGTACTCGCCAGGTTCGGTCCAGGAGATGCAACGTGCCCTCCAGTTGAATTATGATTCGTGGATTGAGACCCCCCGCGCCTTGGACCTGATGAGAGAGTTCCTTCGTCGCAAAGTCTAAAAGAGTTCCATAACCACGCCATCGGCATCCTCAATAACCTTCGGGTGTTTTACAAAACCTTAGCATTATCATAGATGAAATCTCCCTTCGGTAGGGTTGACGAAGCCGTCTCCTTGATTGTTCCAACTGTGTCACACCGCAGCGATCATTTGCCAAGTAAGAGTAAAAGCTCGCCCGAGTTGAACACCTGTTGCAGCTAGGGTGATGCCGCTCGAGCTCACCCCGGTCTCCCTTAGACCAAGGTGAGCACCACCTACGTATCACCCTGGCCATTGAGGCAAGTAGTGGCCTTAGCGGTCTACAGCCTATCATCTCCAACGCCAGATATAGGACAAAGACTGAGCACTTGTGGCCCATCTTTCGCAGGCGCTTACAGTGCAATGCTCCAGGGACAACATCAAATGACAGGATAAAAGTCTTAGTAGTACTAGGACTTGGACTTTATCCTAGCGCATCGATAGTGTTGAATGGGATTTTGAAGGATCTCTATCTACGTCATTAAATGAATCTCATATTTTTTTTCAAATTGAGATTCATGACACGGATTCAACGAAGCCATCCAGCCTTCCTACGCTTAATACCCGCTTTTACTCATCCTGAAGGTCCCCAAACGGTTCCTCATACGCCGTCGTGTGTCTGCGCGCCCCTTTTTTACTTGGATGAAAAGGCCGGCAGATCTGTTAAAGGAGGCGCGGCTACCGGGACGGAGGAGGCGAGCGGTTCTGGGCCTATCATCTTGACGGACCAATTGCTCTATCATCAACCCAGGTTCCGGCAGCGAAAATTGACAAGGCTACTCTTCTCGTGGGCCGGCTTTTAGGGCCTGCTCTTTTGGGAAGCTGCTCTTTCTTGTCCTTGTTGCTTAAACAAGTCAATCCGAGAGGTCCAAACGGCCAAGGCGTGAAACTCTCGCACTGTTGCACCTCGATGCGTCTGGAGTCTTTAGTGAAAGTGGCGATTGGCGCATTGGCGCGCTACTTTTGCTCATCTGATACCAGGATCCCAACCGTATCCTCATGAGCCAACCCCTCACCTCTGACGTACATTCGGGAAGTAGTGGAGGCCCCGAGCCTAACGTGTGCTTTAAAAGAGCCGACGGCTGGCCGGTCTGACAGGTGATGTTCCAGGCCCACGCTGCGCCGCGATACAGATCCACCTAGGACGTTTCGCTGGGACTTGTCTTCTTCGGCACGCCGCACCGTGGGAGAGGCAGTCGAGAGCGAATGTCGGCGGTCGACCAGCAGTCGGTGTGGAGACGGGCGGTCTCGCTGCTGGTCGGATCTGTGGAGCCGAAGTTTAGGACGGAAGACTATCCGCTCCAAGCACCATCAGCCAGTCAGACCACTCGCGAAAAGCCTGTTCGTGCTTGTAACAGCGCTCAGCATCCTGAGGATACTCACTTGTCATGACAACTCGAGCGTTAACTCTAGGACGCCGCAGTGCAACCTAAAGGCCAAGATCTATAAGACCTCATGTCAAGAGGGCTGTCTTGCTGGTAAGGTCCAGATTGGTTGATCAGAGGGTCCGGAGAAGACGTTCAAAGAAAAGGCACAGAAGAGTGAGCCGGGTGAAGGGAAGTATTATCAGCCTGGTCATTGGTAGCGTACTTGTGAGGAACATGTTTGATCTCTTCAATAATTGATTGGTCACTGATGCCAAGCTCAAGCTCATTCCACTGAATTTGGTTTAGAGCCTTCAAGGTCAAATTGAGGTCGGACCAGGATGGCTCTGTCGTGACACCTGACTGCTCGATATGGACTCTTATTCTGTCGAGCGTAGCTTTATATTGTAAGCTGCGAAGGGGCTGGGTCAAATTCAAAGCTATCGTCCGCGTTCAGAAGATGAAGCGATATCTCTTCTTCCAGCGCCGCAGAACGCGGGCAGCATCACTTTGAGGAGCTTTGCCGTCCTCCATTTTCGCATACATGTTGATATCTTGGGAGCTGCTCCGCAGCGTCTGAAGCACTTCCTCTTGCGATGAACTCTTCGCATGGCGATAGAGAACCCAAACCCCTGAAAGATATTACGCATGCTCTCTCTTCTCCATTGTCCTAGGAGGTGCCAGTTTCTGTGCTCGTACGCTCCAGCCGAGGATCCAGGTTGAAGTGCGATCGAAGATATGGAATATGGTAATAAGTGACAGAATAGTAAACAAGCAAATCAACAGTCAATCACACCAAGAAGGGTGTCCAAGACATATCTTTTCGCGAATCAGTCGAACGATGTGCTGAGCTGCATTCCTGCGAACCAGCCCCGCATGGAATTGATCCTTGCGGCAATCCGACAGAATCTCACGCCGCTGATGGTAATGAAGCGCAGCAATGCATCGTTTAGAGTACGCCGATGTATGCGATTTACCGCTGATCCATAGCAGTGGACTCCAACACTCACCTCAGCCACAAGGGTGAACCGCGAGTCATCGCTATCTCCCATTGCCTGTGCATCGCGGAGGATATCGCTCGAGGGTGGAAGAGAACCCAACGGATGAGGTATTCTCCACTGAGCTTGAAAATTGTCTCTGCGACCGGTAATTTTATCCTTTGATTCTGCATATCTCTCGGTGCCTGTGGTTCCAGTCTCATACCTGTTCATAGCCCAACATCATCGCCAAAATCAACAACAGATCCGATCTACACGTACCTTCGTTCCTGTTCACTCTAGAATCCATGTTTCCACCACATGTCCGCCCATCAAGTCCCCGGCCATGACCCCATGAGTGTAACTCTCCCCCAAAAACTTGGCACTCATCACATTCGTCAGTCGCAGCACAAGGGGCATCGTGCACCCAAGAACAATAGCTACCATATCACCCACAAGTGCATGCTGCGGTACGATGCCCATGTGGCCGCTGTCGAGGATGGCGAAGCGCTTACCCCAAGAGACTTGTATGCAGGACCGAAAACCGTCGAGCGTCATACTTAGCATCTCGGGGGGAGAGAAGGCGTTGTCTTCACTTGAGGTAGATGTGGTCATATCGCTTTCATTGGCACCAGGTTCTGTATTCCCAGGTCCTGTATCGTCCTGTATCCCCAGGTCCTGTATCCCCAGGTTCTGCATCGCCCAGGGTATTTTGTTTTGGTTCTCGATCGTCTCCGATCGCGGAGTCGTCACTGTTAATCTTAGTTCATCACTTTTTGCAATATATCAGGTATTCACCTTTCGTCATGCATCTCGTCAGCGACATCCTCCGGCGGCTTCATCATTCGATTATTCCTATTCCCAATTAAAGTCCGACAAAACGCGTCGAGTACATTCTCAGCCCCATACTGCTTAGCAATGTCATCCCACGTCGGGCTATCAAGCACCATGTTCAACCACTGATTGAACGTCTCTGAATCACTCCCACTCTTTCCGTTCTTGTCCTCACGCGCAAACGTCTCTATGTCTTGGAATGTCATGCCGTCATCTACGTCACCGACAGAAACGATGCTGCCGAAGTGGATGGCTGCGACGGACATCTTGTTTTCTGAAAAGGAGACGCGTAGGGAGGAGGTACAGGAGGCCGAGTATTTTTGGAAGTGTGCAATAGAGGATCCGGGGAAGTCATTGCCGCCTTTGTAGCAGTCATAGATGCATATTCCTGAGACAGTTTGGTCGGTGCTCCAGTCCGGGGCCTAGGAGGCAAGGTCGTCATAGTTTTTGGGATATCGGTTGGCACAGATCATATCTAGTGAGCCCGTGGCAATAACGTGCTTCCGGAAGAGATCGGCGTAAATGTTTTGCGGTGAGGAGGTGTGATCGGGTTCGATACCAGTATCGTCAACGTCCCCTGAAAGACCAAGAAGGCCGAAAACCTTGTCTCTTGGATCCGTCGCTTCGCAGTCGCGATGCTGGTTGAGTAGCTCTTGGAGAACGAAGGGTGGGTGGGTCAAATTGATTCTCCGACACTGCGCCATGCGGATGACCTGCGTGAATGAGTCCAGACGCTCGTCAGGGAACGCGTCGGAGATAATAGCGTCGACGATAAACCAGCTAAGTTCGATGGCGTATGCCGTAATAAGGAAATCCAACCACGGCAGAAGTCATTTTTCCGCACCTCACCTTCGCCATCTCCTGTCTTGCCCGTGATAGTTCCTGGACGACCTAAACCCGCGTCCACCAAGGCCGTTTGAACAGGCGGCCCAAAGCCCTCAATACTTCTGGCGTGCATTGCTCTAATTCTTCAAGAAAGACCTCTTGATACTTGGCGTCGAACCCTTGCGCTAACGCTTGCTCGGGATCATTGACCATTTGCCCCAGTCTCCCAACAAGATCCATCGCTGCCACATCATCATCATCGTCAGTCTTGCCAAGCCAGACTTCGACAGCGACCGCCACAGCGTAAATATCGCGCATCCGCAGAACCTGCTTACCTCGCTCGTTCAAATCGTCTTGGTTGATGCACACGGCATCAATCCAGAGCGTCCGTAGCTGCTTGGGATCTCGCATGTGCTGGAGCGCGTCGTACAGAATTTATCGTGACATCCAAGGCACAGCCATCGATAGGAATGGTGTTTCGGATATGAAGGTCCGCCCACGTGTACGATAAGGCTGTGAACTCGAGGGTCTCGGTCAGCTCCGCATGGCGGAGACTGCAGGCAATATCGTCGTTCCAGTCTGCAGGCTTCAGATCGAGCAGGCGGATCTCACCCCGTGTTTGGGAGAGTGGAGAGTATGGGTACATGTTCAGAGTATCCTGCATTGAGCCTCCGCATAATGGATAGTGAATATGCCCAATACAGCCATTACGCCCTCTCTCTCCATTTCTCTAGAACGTAGAGAATTGCTACGGGTGCCGCTGATGAATGAATCAGGATATCAATTTTGGTGTATCTCATCGCATAAAATATATCCCGTGTCACCGAATCGTCCCCCTTCCTTATTGAGAATAGTGTTCCCGTGGTTCAGCATCATTATTCTTGGCAGAAGGAACATTAAACTCTCGGAGTAGAGCCTCAATCTCCAACTTCTAGAATGTTAGAATTACTCGTTCACAGACAACTAAAATCGGCATAATTGGATTTGCAACAGAAGAGCAAGCTCGCACTGAACCTGAAGCCAAGCCGTTCGAGGGCTTTCATCGCCCTCACTCAGTCCGCTTTCGATGTCTCGAGGTATCTCCGGTCCCTCTCGCGTCAGAAAATGCTTCCGATAGCATTTGCGATGGTGTTTGGGACAGAGTACATTCTTGAGTCTTCTATGCTATCAGCAAGCTTGGCTCATTGGCACCCTCGGTTGCATAGTAGTACTACATCCCACATTTGCCCATACGCGATAGAATTTGACAGGTCTGATGATAATCTAGAGACAGTCTACTTAAAGTGTATAGATCATAAGCGTATCAGCATTGTCAGCGACCAGGAGTCAAGGACGTCTTCAAGGGTACGTTCTATATGAAAGAATGGCCGCCCAGATTCCGCGGTCCCTCCCAACCCAGCCAAATATGTCTTGCGATTGTACGTGAAGTGAAGCTGGGAGTAGGGTAATGAACACACTTCCAACACCCTGGATTTGGAGTACCAATTCCCTGCCCATCAGAAGCATGAAACAATCACAACAGAACTCCCAGAATCTCAAATTCTTGACACAGATTCTGGCTGACCTGATCAATTCTTGAAAAGTTTGAGCGTAGACCAACGACTAAGACATTTTCAGTTCCCGTATCAAGACCTTTGTAGCCTGTGACATATCTATCATCTTGATCGACATCCTAATCAAAATCTTTGCCGCTTCGTACACATATTGAGCCAGATCTTCTCACTACCCCAAGGCTTGTTTTGTTCCCCATGATTCTTCATGAATGCTGCCCCCTCCTCCTTCTTCTAGCCTAGATCTGTTCAGCTTTTCCAAGGGGGTTATGTAAACGTGCTTTCCCCACATCAGGTAGTACACCGTGGAAAGCATCATCACGGTAACGAAAATGACTGACCCCCAGTTCATGGTGCTGGGATCCACGGGAGTGACGACAGGAAAGAAGCTCCAGACAAAAAATACCAGGAGAAATACCAAGGACACAATATTGATGGGCAAGCCATAGCGACCAAGTGTCCATTCCCGTGGTGGGAGCGCGTCTCCCCGGAGGCGCTTGTACACCACGCAGCCAATGCTTAGAATATATGATGCGAGGAGGCTGCCGGTGGTAAGTGCGAACATTGCGTTTAGCGCTGTGAGAGACCCGAGATTGATGAGAGATAACAGACACAGGATGACGAGGGAGGTAAGAACAGCATTGGCGGGGATGCCCCATCTCCGAGACACCTATGAATATCAGCTAGACATTTCTCTTTGGGACTTAGAATATTCAGCTTACTTGTGCAAAGAATGGTGAAAAAGGAACACCATGATCGCGGGCAAAGGACCATAATTGGCGCGAGGCGGTGGCGTTGCAGGCAAGGACACTTGCAAGTATTGTGAGGACGATAATCATAGCCATAATAGTGGTTCCAGTCCGGCTCCGCGTCGTGTTGTAGAAGACCTGAAGGAAAGGAAATCCTAACCTCGTCGAGCGAATTTCGTCCATATCACCCCAGGTGTAGCAAATCGTAATAACCACGACAAGACCAAGCACTGAGTTAAGAAATGTAGACCACATGATAGCCCGTGGTAGTGTTATTGCAGCGTTTTCTACCTCTTCAGCTACAAGCATATAACGGTTAGAAAGGATATTGTAATGCGAGACTGAAAGAACGGGGAAATTTGACTTACCCATATGTACGGAGCTGTCAAATCCAAGAACAGAAAGCACCAGTGGAAGAAGTCCAATCATGAAAGACACTCCGTTCGTGGACCAGCCACCATTGTTGGTGAATTCTGTGAAGACTGCCTTTGTATTGTTTCGCGGAGCTAGAACCCAGAGAGGTATTATGATGGCGAACAAGCCCACAACGTGCAGCATTAACAACAGGCCTTCCACAAAAGGCAGCTTCTTAGCAAAGCAAGTATTGAAGACGACGACACCACATCCGACCGCCATGGTCATCAGTGTTCCGTGCCAAGGTTGTGGTTCGTAGGTAGAGACATGTAGCGTTATTAGACCTTGAAGAATAGTTCCTACTATGAAAGCGCCGCTTGAGAGGGCGGTTTGCCACCCAAGAGTGCATAGCCACCCTGGATGGATGAGTTAGAACCAATAACAGCATCAAATGCTCAAAAGCTCACCAGTAAGATAGCTTAGATATTTTTGGTAGCGTCTGGGGGAGAATTCAGAGACCCAGTGATACTGGCCGCAAGAGACTGGGGACCTGCGTGTATCCTGTCAGCAGCGATTGTGCACTCCTCCAGCCTGAGACAAGCAGAAGCTTACATTGAAGTCATTTCGGCTAAGCTTGCGTAAATAAAGAGGAATGCGACTGCCGCAATGAAAAAGCCCCAGACCAGACCAGCAGTGCCCCCGTTGAGGAGGGAACTCGAGACCGCGGCGCTGCACAGATCAGTTTTCTAGAAATCCAGAGGGTTGATATCCAGAGTATGAGCGCAACTTACGCAAGGATAAGTTCCCAGGTGCAAATGAGCGTAGATCCAAAGCCCATCATCGACGCGAAGCCGAAAATCCGCTACACAGCAGGCGACGTCAGCTGTTTACTGTGGTCACGAGCAGGGTGGGGCTGCCAAAATATCGTACATGTAACTCCTGTTTTCTGCCGTGTATTTGCATATCACGTCGGTCAGCGTCTGTTCCTCGATGCTTCTTGGGAACATTGCTATCGTATAGGTCCATTTCACAGGTTTCCAGCGTGGCATCAACCTGTGTTGTCGCCGTCTCGCGGGACCGGACATTTGATTTCATTATGGCAACGGTGTTCGCGATGAGCGAGAGATGCTGATGAAACCTGTCTGCACAGAGCAGGCTGGCAGGCTGGCTGGCAGGCTGGCCGGGAGCCCTTTTAAAAGGAAGGTGAACAACCCACCATGCATGCCAAGTCAGAGCGTGGTTGATTTCACTAACTTACTACGTTAGTTGTCACAGTCTAATCTGACCTGAAAGTGGAGAAAACGGTCGTGCTGTCTCCCGTCTCCACTCTTTCCAATACCATCGCACTGCGCTTATACTACTCTGGTAAGGGGGCATAGATTATGTAAGCATGGTGCTGTACTACGTAGTACTATGTACTCGAGTGGCGGCTAGTTTGAGTATAAAGCCGCCACAACGAAATGATTAACTTTCTAGGAGCTCTGCCATCACAATGGACCACTCGTTGAATAGACACAAAACCACCAAGGCAGATCCGGGTTCGCTATGCTGTTCGCTATGCTGCTCACCGGATGTTCGCCGACAAGTATACCAGCGCTGTGCTAACATTATTTCTGAGCTGGAGCTCCAACCTGCCAACGTACTGGTTGTCAGACATCAAATGTGCTGTTTTACGGTCCCCAGGGCCGGTCCTTTTGGTGTACCACTACTACTAGTAGTACGTAGTACTTGGTGCCGTCGACAAGTGCGCCGTTCTAGCGTGGCAGACTTCTCTTTTTAGGGTAAAATCTGCAAGGCTATCAATGAGCAATCAAGTTTACTCTAAACGAACAATCGACTTCTCGTTCCCCAAGACCATGATCGATCCATCTAAAAACTTGACAGTACATCTTTTCTATCCTTGAGAACTCTTCTTATACACTGCTTGTTTCCTAGTTGTGGGTGTGTTATCATGCTCTGATGGATCCGCCAAGATATTAATCTCCACGACGAATAACGTACTTTTCGGCTGGCACCGAGTAATTTCTACGTAGGGTAAAACGTGGTAGCCGGAGCTAGGTTCTAACCTTTTTCCCCAGGAGAAGTGTCACGCTAGTCATCATCCTATCTCTCCCCGGCGGCCCGGATTCCGTGGTTCCGAGGCGCCGTATGAGCCCCTGTTGGCTTACTACGGTTGGGGGCAGAAGTATTCATAGCCTGGTGCTAGTAGGAGCTGGTTTCATTTACAGCGCCACAATCACAGCCTCCACTTTTTGACCTTACAGATGGGCCATATCAAAATCGCTACTGACTATTCAGTTTAGCGGTTACGAAAGCAATCTGTATCAGGCCACAAGTACTAGCACCGAGCTATGAAGCCTTCTGCCCGGTACTGCAGTAGGTACATAGCAGTATACATAGCAGGGATATTCCGTCGTGGTCTCATTAATATCCTTTCTTGGTCTATTTGACGCTGCCAGTAAACAACGACCTCAACTCAGCCCCATTATTGTGGCGTGTGCCACAAGCGTACTCGCTTCAAGATGCGGTCAACACTGACTGTGACGATAGTGGATGGGTGACTATCACCAGTGGAGTGGTGCTGTCCCATATGCTGATCTTCCGGGGGATCAGACAATCCATTCGCATTTCAGTCAGCCATTAGAATGATCTACTACTCAGGGCCGCTGAAAAGTGAGTTCTAGCATGACATGAACCCATTTTCAGTAACTAGTGATGTGCGGACTTCGTGGATTTGATTTGTTTACGGGGCTTTATTAGCATCTTCATCCACGTGTAATCTTGTTCCACGGAGATCCATTAGTCATTTTACTTTTGCCACGATGCTGTACTCGTGTCGGTGAGAAGCGACTTTTAGCGCAACATTAAACCTGTAGAGTAATCATGTGATTCAATTAGTTCTGTCGGTCTGAGGAAAGTATTCTGATCAGCCAGATCAATGCTTCAGAAGTTACATAGTATCGTTTGGTGGCACATGTGCCCCGTATTGGAGGCTGAATTCCATTTCTCGGCCGCGGCACCGAGCACTCGTAGTAGAGTATGTTTGTTTGAAAATGACTCCTGCACAGAACAGCTAAAACCCCAAAGAGGAGAGATGTACTCTGTACGGAGTAATCTTGGATCTTTAGGAAAAGATACGCATTAAACAAGCTTCATACTAGTCAATTATGGTAATGAGGCTCGGTAACGAAAACCAGCTGCTGTTAGCTTTGGATTAACATTACTTCAATTCCAACCTGATGGCTGGACTTGGACGCACATCTAGAATCACACAGGGGCCCTGTAGTACTCCCGTGGCTTGCTACGGTAATATTTAGTGCGCGCTCTCTCCCTCTTTTTCAAGATCCGAGACTGACAACAACTAGGTTCTATCTGTGATCTAGTCTGCCGTCGTCTTTCTTGGATTGTCCAAAGGATTCGGCTGGAACCTCATAGGCTGTGACCAAGAAGGCTGTGCTCGCCTGCTGAGCTGTTGAGGTGTTGCACGAGTGGCAGAAAAAGGCCAGGCGACATCGACGTCTCAGTCGAGTCGGAAGTGGGCTGATATGCCTTCCACGCCGCTAGACCGTTGGCTGTGCTGAACGGATTGAAGAAGTTGCAGTATACTTCTCTTCGTACTGCACTTGCCTTCTGGACATTCAAGTCGTCATATCGACGCCGCTGAAGAAGATCTGGTTGATTGCCTGAAGCCTGTCCTGAAGTTCAAACTCTTCAATTACCATTGAATACCCCATCATCCTCACATTTAACGAGCGGAGCTTCCCTCACGACAAGAAACCCCCGAAACACTGGTGATGATGTGCTACTACTATCTTCAGAAAGAGACTCAGCATCAAGTCAGCTTGTTTTTCTTATCAGGTGTTTGGGGCATGCAGGACTTTGCTCGAAGGTATAGCCACGTAGCTAGATGAGGAGTTCGGATAGTACCGTTACTCCAGAGTACCTCTGCAAGACTTGCTGCTTACTCTGTATGTACGTAGATCAGATATCGCTGTGAAGAACACCAGATTATCCTATGCGGACCAGCTATGCTTAGCGGCTCGCGGAGATTGCTTGGTTGAATTGGCGATAATCGGTTTCATGTACGAGTACTGCAATGGCCGATTCGGGAATATGGACAGACTTCAGTCTTAGAGCCTCTCGAGAAACTGTTATTCCTTGTTCTTCGGGCGAGAGTAATCTTACCGTTGTGGAGACTAGAGCTGAGAAGAGTCCAGCAAGGTCTGCAATGATTGGCATTCAGAATCCTTCATAGGTCGGTCTCCCACCTATCACCCACCCCACCGCACTCCTCCTTCGTTCTCTTTCCCCCTTCAGGCAGCTCATTCAGCTTGAAATACCCGCTTGCCAACCCACCTTTAGTAAATACTCCCTCGGGATCCACGATTCTCTGCATTCTTCTCAGCTCTCTAAGATTGTCCCCTCCAACCCCTGACCAGACATCTTGTGTCGTCTCGGCATAGTTGATATACTTGTACGGATGCCAAACACCCATCTCCTTGGCCGTCGCTTCTGCCTTTTCCATGAAGCGGTGATAAGCTGCGTAGCTGCGCTCATCATCAGATGCGTCCTTCCATACCCAACTCGTGTTGATGATCATGAGAGGTCCCTCATTAGCGTTGTCTGCCAGGCCAAGCGCGTTGCCTCCACGTTTCTTCATCTTTTCGATGGCTGCATACGAGATGGGTTGGATGGTGACTGCTGGGACGAAACCAGTCATGTTCTTGACCGGGCTTGCTTCTTCCCGGAATATGTTCAAGACCTTAGCTTCCAACTCGACGGAAGGGCGGTAGGTGAATGTACCGTAGATGTTTCTATAACCACTTGGTACCAATTCGTCTATTTCGAGGGTGATGTTGGAGACAGGCTTGATGTCTATGCTAATGGCTTGCGGGACGCCTTCTAGTTCTTGATAGGGCTGAAAAGCCTCAGGCCAGGTAGATGCATTGGTATGGGTTATATGGCGCATTTGTGCTCCACCAAACCATGAATCGTATGCTTGGATGTACGCGAAACTGTTCCACGCGGCAACATCAGGGTCAAGCTCCATAGAATTCGTGGTGAAATTGTAGTTCAGCTGGAGATACTGGGAAAGCTTTTCCCATGGAAAAACCTTCTGGCCCCCCCATATCCCGGCCGGATTGGGCGGGACAAAACTCTCCATGGTAAAATATGTCACAATTCCGAAGTTTGATGCACCGGCACCACGAAGCGAGCGATAGAGATCCGGGTTGGAAGAATGTGTTACGTTTGCAATAGAAGCGTCAGGGAGCACAATTTCGTACGAGAGAACGTTATCACAGGCGCATCCATGGCGGTTGACAAAGAATGAAAGGCCGCCTGGTTGAACCATCAGCATCTATAGCATCTCACATCTCAGGCGGACCAAAGCGGATAGGAAGACTTCACCTCCAAGAGTCAGTCCCCCCACACCTACTCCTGCTACTCTTCCCCCAACTACCATCAAGCCTTCTTTTTCCAAGGCTATGTAAAGGTCCCCCCAACGCAAGCCAGCACCAATCTTGACGCTCTTTCTGTCCTTAGCAACCTGCACTTCGTTCATTCTGACAAGATCAATGGTGACGCCGCCATCTGCATTGCTTGAACCAGGTGTACGGTCGTGTCCTCCACTTTTGACTGCAAAATGGCACTTGGTATCAATCAAGGTCTTGAGCACGAACGAAACCTCTTCCGAGGACGAAGGCTCAACCCGACATACTGGTGTGAGATCTGATTGCTTGGTGTCCCAGAATTGGAAATTGCCTGTCTTTGCGTAATACAGCGCAGACGGCAGGCTGTCAGCGATAACAGCACACTGAAGAGACGAAGCATTAGGCTCGAACGATTTTGGGGCGTTCAAAAATGCGGTCAAGCACCTACGGCTTTGTCACAGGCTGTGGAGTATCCTTTGAGTGCTTTTTCCGACGTCAGATCTCTCAACACTTCTAACGGAGCAGTTGGGCTTCCTGGTTGAGCATGGATGATGGCAGCGCAAAGCAGCAGAAGAAAGAAAGGATTCATCATCAAGCAGAAAGGCCAGTCCGCTATTCGTCAATGAGAGTGGACGAGTAAGCAAGCAGCCAAGTACTCAGTCAAACGTAGTGAAAGTTGATCGATGTAATAACGAACGCATCCGTTCTCCCCGCGCCGGAGAGGAAGCAATTGTAAGGTCTAAGGAGGGAGCAAAGAGTTGCACCAGAGGTGGGCAGGCGCGGAGCAAATCGATCACTTGTACTCTGTAAAGGTTGATATTGTGTCGAGCTGTATAAGCTCTGATTGGTTGGAATTTCTAATTTGCTTCTGCATTTCCGCTGTGCCGTACAGGCGATTTGTACGCAACAACTTGCTTTCTACGTATTTCCTGCAGATTGTCACACATATAGATATCCTACTTTCAAACTGGTTAGACAACGTGTAGCTAGTGGTGTGTATAGAATGCAAGTCTACCCACAACTTGGCAGCTTAAGACTCCAAGCGACTGTTGCTACGATTGGGTGCTTAGATAGTATGTAGTTCTGTCTTCCAAAGAGTTGTTACCTGAGCTACCTTGCACAAGCGGGACGGACATGGCACGGCATGCTTGGGGGCTGGGGAATGGCGTCTGCTGGAGGATAAGGCTTTTGTATGATTTCGCTAGACGTATCTATTCATGATGCAAGCATTCTCGCAAAGCAACGCCAGAGAAGTAGAAACTTCTCCAATGCAGTTCCACCAACCGCTCAAAGGGAGTAAAAGGCTTGCTGGTCTACAGCTCGTCATGCCCACTTGGCTCATCATCGCCATAGTCTGGCATGCCTCCTGCACCTCCGCTATACAGTTTACTGGTGATTGGATATGCAACATTGGACAGTTTCTCCTTTTGCTCCTCGAAATCCTCACTGGTGGCTGTGGCGGCGTTTTCCTCTAGCCAGTCGTTGGCCTCTTTGACAGCTTCGAGGATCTGTGTGAAGGTGTTAGTAATGTTTGAAGAACTCATCCATGGCAATGACTTACGGTCTCCTTGTCCTCGTCATCAATCTTGCCACCCAAGCCCTCAGCATCATTGACTTGATTCTTCAGGCTAAATGCATAATTCTCAAGACCATTTCGAGCCTCAATCTTCTCACGAGCGGCTTTGTCCTCATCGGCATACTGCTCGGCTTCCTGGACCATGCGTTCAATCTCTTCTTGCGACAGGCGACCCTTGTCATTGGTGATGGTGATGGATTCCGATTTGCCAGTGCCCTTGTCACCAGCAGAGACCTTGAGAATGCCGTTTGCGTCCAATTCAAACGACACTTCGATCTGGGGAACACCACGAGGAGCTGGAGGGATGCCAGTGAGCTCGAATTTCCCCAGAAGATTGTTATCCTTTGTCATAGATCGTTCACCCTCGAAGACTTGAATTAGGACCACTGGTTGGTTATCGGCCGCAGTGGAGAAGATCTGAGACTTGCGGGTGGGGACAATGGTGTTTCGGGGAATCAATCTGGTCATAACACCACCGGTAGTTTCGATTCCAAGAGTCAACGGGTTAACATCCATGAGCACGATCTCGTCAGTAGCAGCCTCTCCAGACAAGACACCAGCCTGAACAGCTGCACCATAAGCCACAGCCTCATCAGGATTAATACCCTTGCTGGCTTTCTTGCCGAAATACTCTTCGATCATAGACTGGACCTTCGGAATTCGAGTAGATCCACCAACCAGGACAATGTCGTCAATGTCACTCTTCTTGGCCTTGGCATCTTTCAGCACCTGCTCCACAGGCTTGAGGGTCTTTTTGAACAGATCCATGTTGAGTTCCTCAAATTTGGCTCGGGTGAGGGTCTCGGAGAAATCTTTGCCCTCATGGAAGGCTTCGATTTCAATACGGGTAGACATCTGGGAGGAGAGAGTTCGCTTGGCCTTTTCAACCTCACGCTTCAGTTTGCCCATTGTCTTCAGGTCCTTCGTGATGTCCACATTATTCTTCTTGTTGTACTGTTTAGCAAGATAGGAGATGACCCGTTGATCAAAGTCCTCCCCTCCCAGATGAGTGTCTCCAGCGGTAGCCTGCACCTCGAAAACGCCATCCTCGATAGAGAGCAGCGAAACATCGAAAGTACCACCACCTAGATCATAGACAATGATTCGACGTTCACCGCCTTTCTTGTCTAGACCGTAGGCAAGAGCTGCCGCAGTAGGTTCGTTGACCACTCGTAGAACATTTAATCCAGCGATTGTACCAGCGTCCTTGGTGGCTTGTCGCTGGTTGTCATTGAAATATGCGGGGACGGTGACGACTGCATGGGTGACTGTCTTGCCCAGATAACTCTCAGCAACCTCCTTCATCTTTCCAAGAATCATGGCCGAGATCTCCTCGGGAGTAAAATTCTTCTTTGTTCCCGACACTTCCACATTGACCATAGGCTTGCCATCTTTCTCGACAACCTTGAATGGGAAATGTTTGGCGTCGTTGGTAACGTCCTTGTCAGCAAATTTTCGACCGATCATACGTCTGGTATGGCATGTCAGTGCCAGCTCGTAGTTGCAGGAGATCAATCCACTTACTTGATGTCAAAGATTGTTCGTTGTGGGTTTGCAGCATATTGGTTCTTGGCTGCATCTCCCACTAAACGTTCTTCATCCGTAAAGGCCACGTACGAGGGTGTTATTCGATTTCCCTGGTCGTTGACAATGATTTCGACTTTTCCGTTGTGCATCACACCAACGCACGAATAGGTTGTTCCCAGATCAATACCAATCACAGTCCCATAATTCGTTTCATCCTTCAGTGTGGTTTGTTCATCTGCTCGGACGGTTCCGAGAAGCGCGAGGGGAGCGACGAGGACAACAAGGAGGTAGAGGATTGTGGTCCACTCGAATCTTGAGGCAGAGCCCCTCGAGCGCGCCATTTTCACCAAGCGCGTTCAACAATGGTGAAGGAAAAGAAAAGAAAAGAAAAGACCGTATGCTATAGAGGGTCGACGCGAGAAGTGTCGAGGGTGAAGTTGTGCAGAGGAGAAAGGGCGCAAATGTAGCATTAAGAATTAAAAATTCATAATGCCAGGTTGGCCTTATCGTCTCTGGAACAAAGTGTCCTCTTGACAGGGGTTCGCCCCGACACGACACATGATTGGTTGAATCTCAACTACCGCCTACATGAACTAAGCATCTGCCCCTTTCCTGACACCTGTCCCCCCCCAAAGGCCACCTCTTCGAAACATCTATGTTAAGCTAAGCACCTCATTCTGTGTTGCCAACGCAATGCTACAAGTAGTTTCTCGTGCTGCTATCCACCTCATTCCAGATGTCCAGCAGCCACAGTTTCTCCGTTTGCCCTCAGAATTATCCTTCCGGCCTCGATTGGTGCAGGCTCATCCAGCTCAACCACGATTCTTGCAACACTGCCTGGGTGCACGACTTGGGGCTTTTTCTTAACCACACTGTCATCAATCTTGTTGAGCACAGCAGCAAGTCTTGAGATCCTCCCGGGAATGTGCAAGCGTCCTTTGTGAACATCCAGCGGCATTGGCATTAGGTGGTCAAACGCCAATACCTTCGCTGTAAATGATGAGACATTTTCAACAGGGAAGGCGGGGTTGCAGAGCATGTTGCCAATATTGATCTGATCAAAATCTGCTTCTGTGATGCTCAAGCTCAATATCACATTCTGACCTGCGACTGCCCAATCGCTTGGCTCATCGTCCACTCGGATGCTCCTGATGAATGTCTTGATACCACTAGGCATTACCACGATCTGGTCGCCAACCTGAAGACTGCCTGCTTCAATGCGCCCGGAAACCGAGAACGGATTCTGTACGGAATCATAGAAGGCATCGTCGAGCGTCATCCGAAGTGGCTTTTCAAGTGCATGGTTCACTGGTTCTGAAGTGTCAAGTTCCTCCACCAAAGTCGGTCCATTGTACCAGGCTGCCTGTGGCGCTCTGCTCCGGGTGAGTATGTTGTCCCCTTGAAGCCCAGAGCAAGGAACAAATGAGATATTTTCGCTCTTGAAACCTGCTGTGGTAAGGAAGGCTAACATTTGCTGTTGTATGTCTTGAAAGCGTTCCTTTGACCAGTCAGTCCTGTCCATTTTATTGACGGCGACCACGATCCTTGCCACTCCCATGCTTCTAACAAGTAACGCATGCTCTTTTGTCTGACCTCTGAGGCCCGCTTCGAATTCGCTAGGCGAGGCATCGATAACCAGCACAGCAAAGTCTGCCTGACTAGCACCCCCTATCATGCTGGGAACGAAATCTCGATGTCCGGGAGCGTCTAGAATGGTGAACGACGTTCGTTCTGTCTGGAATTTGTGGGACGCAATGTCAATGGTTACACCTCGAGCTCTCTCCTCTGTACCTTGATCCAAGACCCAGGCGAAAGCAAATGAGCCTCTGCCCATTTTTTCAGCCTCCTCCTTGTATTGTTCCATGGTCCGCTCATCGATCGCTTTCAGATCAAACAAGAGCCGACCCATAAGAGTGCTTTTCCCTGAATCCACATGGCCTAACGATTCGCTTAGCAAGTTGGTGATGGCGCTTGCGCGTTACTTACCAATGACCACGAAATTCGCCGCATTTTTTCTTTCCACCTTCTTGTACTCAGCAAGAACATCAAGATTCTTGCTCTTGATCGTCTCTGGTTCCACCACTGACAGATTTTCCATGCTGTTGATGATAGACTCCTTTGCTTTAGCTGGCTTCTGCTGCTTCGATGATGTTGAGGTCTTTGAGCCTGTCGCCAATAGCCAGTTAGTGATGCTCAGCGACGCCCTCCCGCCATCATCGCGGACCTTTGAAGTTCTGCGCTTTCAGGACAATATCGTCTGGACTTGGTTTTAGGAAATCGAAAGAAGAAATGACGGGCTCAGGCAATAAGGTGGGCGGTCTGGAAGATAAAGGCCAGGCAGTATTGCAGGAGATCATCAAAGTGCGAGCAAACATGGATGGATTGGCTCGCATATCTGCAACGTTTGCTCCAGACTGAGAACCGTTAGGCTGGTGACTGTCTTCTGTTCTTTTGTCCTTTCCTTGCTCTCTTGATGGCGGTAACGCATCGCCTTTGGGAGGTGGCTCTTGTGTCTGGTCTATCCTTGATGTTGACTGCAAGTCGTGCCGCGAACTCAGTGGATGTTCTTTGTGAGGGTATAAGGTGTGCGATGTTGCAATTCTCAATTTGCTCAGGCCAGACGCAGTGTCTTCAGGCAAACCTGATGTGTGGGTATCTGCAACTCTTTGTTTCTCATTTTCCTTCTCTTTTAGCCGACGCTTTGCAGCTAACGCAGCAATCTTTGACATTTTGCCTTCGCCCGTAGAAGATCCACCAAGAAGACCAAGACGCGGAAAAACAGGCTCTACTCTGATCTCTGCTTGGCGATGAAGAGGGATATTGAGCCAAGGTGAGTCCCAGAAGAAGTCCTTTGCCGTTGATGGTAACAGATGATGGATGTTGGGCTCTTTGACAGCTTGATGATGAACTTGTGCTGACATCAGAAGTGGTGCAATGAGCCAGAAAATATAAAGAAACAGCATGCAGGCAGTGAGGACTCATATAACAAACATTGACACACCATAACAGACTTAGCCGGAGAAAGGAGCTCACTTACCAGCTAATTGCGAGCCAGCCTTTGCTGGTCTAGTCTTTTCCTGCTTACTTTGGCTTGGTGTATGTTTGTCTAGGGGCGTTAGTGACATCTATTTGGACAGATAGTCAAAGAACCGTACTCTTCAGGTAGCTGACTGATTTAGAGATATCGTAATAGTAGTGCCACAAGGCATCTTGAATCTCCTTGTCCGTGATTGATGCGAAACCTTGACCCAAGGTATTGCGCACTTGGACCGTACCCACCCGCAACCTCTCCTGATCTTCTGCAGTCATTCCGACGTCCTCTACGTAGCCGCTCTGATCGTCATCATCATAATAATCATCTGCATAGTCATCCTCAAGCGCAACGCTTTTGATTCTGTGCTTAGACATCCTTGATTGTGTAGTAAAGGCAAAGGGTCTGGAAGAAACCGAGGCGTGATAGCTTTTTGATTCCCAAAAACAAAGGTCAAATACCACTGGCAATAACAACACAAGAAAATCAAATAGTCTACGGGGCAACGCGAACTGTAAAGCATTCCATGATGATGTGGCTCATGGTAGTAAGCACTGTGGCTCAACTCTCTCTTTAATCGACCTGACTTGTGGTGGCTGGTGGCCTGTGGCTTAGTTGATCTTATCGATTGTGTTGTGGCTTGTCTGCTTCTGCCTCCTCAGTTAAACATTAACCACTGCATGCGACAAGACCTCATTGAGTGGAGGGACACAACCTGAACACAACCTGAATACAACATCTGCCTATTGCTAACACTTTTATATCCGGCATGACATAGAAGCCCTTATACATACTAACTCACCATGTAGTCAAGGCACCTGAATGCACCTCTCCTGCAGTATGTCCTCCACCACAACAGTCCCGCCCACTCCACATGGGGTTCCATCGCAAGGTGGTACTTCACAGACCCATCAGACCCATCAGACCTCGGGAGAAAGCCACGAAGTCTTATCCGATATCATCTCTCGCCCTCAGATAAGGTCTTCTCCTTCGAAACCTCGATCATTGTCTGATGTTCCAAAGCCAAGCCTCTCACCTTCGCCTGCTTTTCGAGAGCCCGCCCAGGCTGTCAAAGATGACAATGCCTTTATATCTCCCAGTACTCCCAAGAGGCCAAATTTTCCCGTACGGGGTCTCTCTCTTCAAATGCCGCCTCGGGATGTGATCAGTCCAACCAGTAGCTTTGCAACCCGTGTACCTCTATCACCAAAACTCGACTCCTCCAACACCTATGGAGCACCTGCTCCGATGCTGCCCAGAAGGTCGCGAGGCCTGGACTTCGCTCGAGCATGTACAAACCTTCATCACTCTACATTGGCGGAATCGTCTCCCGATTCCTCCCCTACAATTTCGGGACGCGGCTTACAGATCCCACAAAGAAAAAGCCTGGGTAGCAACAGCGTGCTGGATTCACCCAGCAACATGACGAGCGGAATGTGGTCTACAATTTCTCACTCAGAAAGGACGATGCCATCAAGTTCAGTCAGTAGTATCAACATGTTAGATTCCGATAAGAGCAGCACCGCCTCCTCGGACGATGAGCCAATGGACAGAGACATGGAGGATCCAATGCTTACCACCCCTCATGTATCCAGACTATCCAACAATTTCATATCTGGTGCGGTGAATAGCCCTGGTGCCGACTGGATGAGCCACCAATTCTCACCCGCGGCTGCAAGCTTAATGAGCTTTCAAAGGGCCAGAATGCGGAAAGGTCGGAGCACGCATAGTTCCAGCAGTGGCAACAGCTCTAAGCCAAGTCCTGCACCTCTATCTCCACCATTGATGAAGAGCATTGAGCATCCGAACGGCAACTTCTTCCAGCCAGGCTTGACCAGGCAACAGGTGCAATCAAGGAGAGAGAGCTTGAGCCTGGGCACCGGTGATCTACATTTGTCATCAGACAGCGGAGAGGAAGATGCCAAGACCAGCGATGGGAAAGATGCCGGTGGAAACACCACCAGCGCATCTTCGACTCAAAGTCCTAGAGGCGTGATAAGAAGGCCCGTGACGAGGAGAAGTAACCTCTTGCCAAAGACCAAGACTTTTGCCAGGATACGCGCCGCACTGTTGGAAGAAGCCGCTCCCGTCGAGAATGAAGCAAAGCGGGAAGCAGATGTGATCCATCAAGTGCGGGAAAGCGACCCCACGGTAAACTCACCCACCCGCCAATCGACCTTTCACCAAGATGGGCTGGAGACTGCTTTGGATGATGACATGGCCGCGAATGATGCGCCCTCTATCACTGACTCTCTCACCAACACTTTCAGCCAACACGCAGAGAAGCACTCTGATGGCCTGCGTTTCTGGAACAGTTTCGATCTGCGGCATAGGACTCCACCGCCTTCACTGTTGCCCGGAAAAAGCTCTTCGGCTATGAGTGACGATGTCAGCATGGATTCCACCATGACTTCGCAGGGTACTAATTCAGGTATTGGAATTTTCACCGGGCAGCTCCAATGTGACTCCCGGTCCCGGTCTCGCTCGTCAACCCCTCTGGCATCCATTGCACCTACAGCCGGAGAAGCTGCCAGGAAGGCAAACAATCGCAAACGTGGAAGAGACGATGATCTGGATCCGTCGAGCTTCAAACGAAGGGCGGTCTCACCTGGCATGAGCGTACAGAGCAGTCCGGTGTTACAGCAGAGCCCTGGCTTCAATGGAGACAAAGCCTGGGGACAGATGCCCCCTCCGAAGACTGGCACCGAGCGAAGTAATAGTGGTAGTAATGGTGGTAGTGGTGGAGGAGGAGGACCCAACAAGAGGGTTGGCTTACAGGGAATGGTGGAAACTAACGATGGTCTGATGAATATGAGCATTGAGTGATACCAAAAGGCAAGTGCTTCATTTTTATCGATGTATGATGTTCGAAGATGATACCCAAATCTGGTAGCGGCGATTTTGCCAACCGGATATAAGCAGACGCTTCAAATGATGTTCTTAATCCAAATGAATATTCAGTAGAAGATAGGTCTTCATTTCAAGATGATGGAATCTGGATAGCCTCTGAAGACGGCCTTAAGTCACCTTCGCTTGCGTTGACAATACTGTAACTGTTTAGAGCAATATCGGGCTTAATAGCAGTCTCGGATTTAATAGTTAATAGTTGCTCCCTCGAACTTCCAGGTCCAAATGCCATCAAAAGTACAACCAGTTTCCAAGTGACTACTTCGCAACCATGTCCTCTACGACCGAGATAGCTTCTTCATTTATTCAAGACGCCCCTCCTGGCGAGCTTCAGGATGTAGTAAAAGACATCCAATCCCTCACTTCCGACACAGATCCATTTCTTCTCTCGCGATTGAAGCCAGCATTCCAGAAGTACAACGAAGAGCAATTAGCGACTGCTGAATTACCAGCCAGGACGGAACCAGTGAGATCAATTTTCTCTCCAAGCAGTTGCGGACACTACACTGACATGTCGAGCGCAAAGGTCATTATAAGCAAATACAACCGGCTGCCAGACGGACGCTACTTTGACAGCGAAAGCAACACCTCTTTCGACTTCGACCATGTCACGCAAGTTAGTTAGGTATAGCCCCTACTCTGCGTGCATTCTAACCGGTCTACTTTGCCAGAAAGCCTCGAACCCTCAACCCTACACCCACCCATCACCCCACCGCGATCTGATCGCCTCGCTCCAGATGTGCATCTCCAACTACGCGCACGAACACTACGCCTCACCGGCCACTGGCGTCTACCCGACCACGGCTCCCTCAGACTCAGACTCAGACCCAGACCCAGACTCCAACTCCTCCACCCTCGCCCTCCTCCTCGTCTCGAACAGATACTCACCCAGCAATTTCTGGAGCGGGCGGTGGCGGTCAACCTACGTCTTCTCGCCCCGCACGCACGACCATCACGGTGCACTACTACGAAGACGGCAACGTCAGCCTGACCACGCGCAAGCCCGTGCACGTGGCCCTCTTCGCACCACCGGCATCCTCCTCCTCCGACCCGGCCACCCGCCGCGGCGGAAAAGGCGTATCAGATCGAGGTGAACACGGCGTTTGTGGCGATGAATGAGGAGGGGTTTAAGGGGTTGAGGCGGCAGTTGCCCGTGACGAGGCAGAAGGTCGAGTGGGAGAAGGTGGGGGGGTATCGGTTGGGGGTGGCGATCTGAGGGGGGGTGGGCAGAGGTAGAGGTGGTTGTTCACAACCAGAACTATCAGCATAAACTAGAGTTTTGGGGGGGAGTAAAAGGAAGGAAGGGAAGGAGCTGAAATAGCATTTGTGGTCCTAGAACCGCCCGTTCAGGTTTTTCGGATATTTCAACTTCTGAAGCGTAGAATGTAGAGGACAAACATTCCCTCTCCGCGCGTGGGAAGAGAGAGTAAGGACGGATTGATGTTCATTAAGTTACTAGTAGTGCTCATGTAAGGCTTTCCCCCCTTCCCCCTCATCCGGCTACCATGTATACGTCCTTACCCTGACCCTTTATCGTATGGTATTAATGACATGGTATGAAGAACGGAACGGAACAGAACGGAACTGGTTGTGATTGATTGATTTATTGGTCAGATATTTGGTTGGATGGATGGATGGATGGATAGATGGATGGACAGTAGATAGACAGACATTCTCATCCCGGGGGGGGGGCCTGGTTGAGAACAGCAGAAGAAGGGGAAAAGGAAGAAGAGACTCACAGAGGTTGGAGGCAGCCCAGTCCTGCAGGAACAGAACACTCTTGGGCCAGACCAGGTCGAAGAGGAGAGAAGGGAGGAGAAGAAAAAAAAAAAGACGGGCTCGGACATGTTGTCCTAGCTGTGTAGCAGGGTGAGATCGATGATCGATGTTGTCTGTCTTCTCGTCTCCTTCCCGCTTTTTGCCTATCTGGCTCTCTATTTCATCACATCGTCACCTCAAAAGCACTTCCGCTGCCGTACCATGCAGAACACAGAAGCTAAGTCAGACTCAGAGCCAGTCAGCTGGCCAGCAACACTGGCGAACCAGAAACTGATCGTCGATTGGCGTGTGACACGTTCCCCCAGAAGTATGTACCGTATCGTAACAAACACCTGCCACAAATTCCATCCCATCCCATCCCGTCCCTTCTCATCCCTTCCCTTCCCACCCCTTCCCCTCCCATCCCGGCCAAGCTACCATCCTACCTAGCGACACTCCGCTGATAAAACACAATATAAGCCTCTCCACTGCTCAATCTATCCGCACCCTTCAACCTCAACGGATCGAAATCCGTCGTCCTCTCATCATCGAATTTGCGCCAACAATTCCCACCGGGATCCTTAACCAACGCGACGTAGTGGCCCCCACTGCCGCTGGAGCCAATGTGGCGGAGGACGCCGTACGCGTCGTAGGTGAAGGGCGGTGTGGTTGCGGGATCTTGCTGTGTCGCCTGTTCGTTGGGGTAGTGGCCGTTGCTGGAGGCTTGGTGGGGTGCCGGTAGAGGCCGAGGGATGACATAGCGGTCCATGCTGAGGCCGTAGAGGGGGAAGTCTATCGGGGTGTGGATTTTGCGTGCGGATTCGGTCTTACTAGCCGAGAAGCGCTTGAAGTGTATGACCAGGAACTTCGGGAGACGCGTCAGAATAATCTGTTTTGTGGCCTCTCGTTCACATTTACAGTGTGGACATTTCCACACTTCGTCGCCGGAGAGTCGTTCCTCTTGGCAGTAGGACTGGAGACAATCTGATAGGTTGCCCTGACCGGAGCGCGGGATCTCGACGCTGATGCTGTAGAAGGCTTCGTAGGTTGTGCTCGTATTGCGGCAGGTAGTGCAGCGGAGGCGAGAGGCGTGCTGACCTGCGAAGAGCGACGAGATATAGCTAAAGTCACGGTGCTGGAAGCGCGACCATTCGTAAGTGCTTGCTTGGGCGATGGGGGTACGTTCCCGTTGCATCTCTTCGGCGAATGTTAGTGGTTTGAGCGGTGTGCGCGCCCAATTGACGTTGAGATCTTCGTGGAGACAGTCGACGAGGAAATCAAAGAATTCTTTCGCGTCTTGTTGTCGGTCTATTCCCCACTCGCGGTTCATGCGGCCGCAAAAGTTGCGGAAGGTGGTGGGTCTGATAACTTCGACGTCTTGGTTCCAGAGAGAGCGGATGAGATTGGTATAAAGCTCCGGCATGATACCGCTCGATCCTTTCCAGTTCTTTTGTCGATATTGTTTGTACCGATCATCTTCGAGGAAGAAAGAGGAAAGCTGAATTGTGGCTGACAGGCATTGTATGGTCGCATTCATATAGCACGTCACGCCAAAATTGGTGAGACCGGTGCGTGGGAGTTTGGTGCGTCTCAATGCAGAGTATGAGGCATACAGAGGTGGCCGCGTTGCCGAAGCCTGTCTGGCAAGCGGTGCTTGGGATGTCTGTAGATCAGCTTGACCAGAGTAACTAGGTCGAGGAACAGCTGGCGGTGGACGTGAAGGTATCTCTGGCCTCGAAAGAGGCTGCTCAAATCTGGTGGTTGGAGGAGGCGGTTGCGGAGGTAATCTGGTTGGCCTTGTCATGGACTCTTGTATACCATTGACCTCTGGAAATTTGCGAAGGAAAGTCTCGTAGTCGTGAACAAATGGCGACCCGGGTTCTTCAATCACGGTTTCTAGGTCCTCGGTTCCATCTTCGCTACCATCTTGGGCATAATAAGCAGTGTCGACTTGCTCAGCTTGAGCTTTCTGCCTCCAGGCTTGCTCTTCGTCTGCGTTGAGTGGCTGATATTTCTGCAATCTCCGCCGACGTACTTCAATCCTCGAGTTCACGCTTCCCACTCGTCGCGTTCCAGGCCTAAGATGCCCGGCAGCGCCTCGGCGAAGTTTGGTTGAGCCCATGAGTGCCGCTGTGTGCGATGCCTGGAGCGATTGAGGTCCCATAAGATCCACCCATGCATCTAAGCCTCCGAGCAGTAATGCAGGAGGCCTTCCATCCTTCAACGGTTTGTAATCGTTAAATTCGTAAAGAGTGTCGTACAGAGCTCGAAGTGCTGGAGTAGTGCTCCCTGTTGGTGGACCTGACAAGAACTTGGTAGAGCTGGTCGCCTGATCCATATACACAATGACATCAAACTCATTACGCTTCTCGAAAAGTGCTTGCTCCGAGTCTGGAGAAACCACCAATCGATCCTCAAGCTCTTCTGCCGAGACACCTTCTCTCAATGAAACGGGCTCAATGCACATGATGGACTTGGTAAAAATGTGGCCCTGATCAAAGATCTCCCGTTCCCGCACATCAATAATTAGGACGTTGTATTTACGAATGTAGTCTTTTAGTCGCTCGGCGCTAATTGTACGCTCGTGGGGTATCTCACTCGAACTGCTTTTGGCGATAATGGCAGAATGTACTCCGTTGGGCGTTCGCGGGCGGTAAGGGCTCTCTTCCCCGCGTGCCCGCTGAAGAGACTGGGGAACAGGATTCGGTTGATTATAGTAAGTAGTTCTTCGTTCGCCGTTAGCTTGGGCGGGGTCAATTGATGATCTGGAGGAATTTGAATGTATTGAAACTGCCCTTGCTGTTGTAGGGCTATATGTTGGGCTTGGGGGCCTGGGCAGAGATTCAGGAGACGTGATTGGCACTTTGGGCGGTATGTTTGGCCCTGTAGCGACGACAGGCATATCGCGTGGACCGAACGGGCGGAACGAGCCGTTGCTGGAAGCTGACTGGGGGGAATATGATTGAGGTCGTGACCTTGAATCAGGACTATCGTAACTGGGCATTCTCAGGGCTGCGAAACGATCAGAAAGATCCGCCGGTTTGGGGCGAATCGCTGGTCTTCCATTCGATAGAGACGATCGCGGAGAAGTCCCAAATGGCTGGCCAGGATCATTTCGAGGTGGGCTGGGCATTTGCAGTCCATTAGCTTGCGATGCCGACCTCTGATCTGCATGTTGTGGTTGTGCTCCGGATCTCGCGTTGTCCTCCTGGATAATATGCCGTACGTCCTCGATCTTGCCTCCCATGGCTTGAATGGTTCTGCAAAGTACCTTGTGGCGATTCTCCCATCCTTTCTTTGCATTGCAGTAGAAGCCGTATTCTCGATGTCCCGGGATCGAGTTGATAGCTAGTTCAGACCCCTTGAGGTAGTCCTTGTACGCCAAATCGAGCCGATCAAATTCCAGCGCGCGTCTTGAGGAGCTGATATACCCTTCAGCCTTCTCCAGCTGTAGATTTAGCGGCGCGTCACGGTCTACGTCAGGTACAGCGGTAATTGAGATATCTTTCAGATGCTGATAGCCTTTGGGTCGATCATATTTGACATAGGTTCGGGGGTCAACCCAGCTGCCTCGCGGTCGACTGGAAAGGACGCCAGCGTTGGAAGCGTTGTAGGGAGGAGGAGAAGCATAGGAAGCCATGGTGAATGAAAACCCGGTGTCGATAACGGATGGGTCATAGCGGGACATGTAGCAAGAGGATCTGGGATTGCCAGTGTCTGGAACTGAACATGTTCGGTGGGTGCGTAATCGGGTGACTATGCCTGCTAGGAAATGAGTATGCAAGGAATGGATGTCATGTCGGTTCGCTACCTCTGTCACTTCACACTTGCCACTGATGAGAACAAGGTAATACACGTCAGTTGACTGTTCACTTTCCAGTTATTGAAGGTCCTCAGTGTTATCGCTTTCGTGCATGTCTTGTCTTATTTTCTCATTTCTGCAGGTTGCGCCACCCGCCACAATGGACACAATGGATGGTGTGGCTGATACCCTCGCAGCTGCTTAGCTAACTTCGGAGCGGCTTACGGAGTACATCCACCAACTCAAATTTACTACTACGTAAGCAGAGGAGATAAAAAGAACTAGGGCCGGTGCGGTTGCTAGCTTCGTGTCTACTTCCATCATAGCATCACTATAATCAACGTGGTAAACCATTCACTTGGGAAGAGACGTGGGAAAATCTGTAGAGTGCTCGCCCATGAAATCCGAAGGAATCATCAAACAATAAATATGGGTCGAGGAAGTGAATGGACCGTGGATAGGCAAGCAACCGAGATACATTGTGACTTCTTTTTACAAGGAAAAGAGGACTACAGATCTGTAGACAGGAGGAGTCATCGAGTCGCTGCACATGACCACGTCATTGAAATCCAACCTCTCCTTCGGCCATCTTCAACTCCTCTGTCTTGGGCGCGTCGATCCTATGCAGGGAGAAATCTCGTGCTATAACCAGTGCGGTATTCATGAGTGAACGACACCTTGCCGAGGAGCCTTCAAGACTAAGAACGAGGAAATACATAACAATGGTCGCTTGAACATCTTCTATTGCCCCAGACGTTGTGCGGCGTGAATTATCCAAGACATCAAAAGCGGTTTTGCCCCACATCAAAGCGGCTTGATTTGACTCTTCGGAGCTTGGAAACAGGAGAGAAATTTGATCACGTATGTTCCAGTAGTATGATGTACTAGCAAAAATGCTCAGAAGAAGCGCAACATGGCCAGATTGGACAGGCTTGTTTTCAATGATGTGAGCATACACATCATTTACAAGCATCCGTACGGAAGGAGCATGGAGTATATGTTGAAGGTGTTCAATGTTATTGCAATAGTTCTCCAACAACCGTAAGGCTTCATCTTGAGTAGGCAGCCAAACACAATTGGTGGCGTTACAATTAGACCTGGTTTGAGAACCAGGAGGGGAGGAGGTGATGGCTAAGATCTGCTGGATGGTACCAACACGAAAAGTGATTCTGTCTGACAGGCCAGAGATCTGGCAGCTGCCTGTGAGCAGAGGGTAGCCCAGCCTAGGGTATACCGCACTTACCAAAGAGTTGGTCCGAATGCCCACGTCTTCGAGCCACTCGGAGTCTTTTCTGCTACTCTCCTTACCATGAAGTCGATGAGGAGAGGTGCAAGAAGGGGCAACGGAAATTGAGCGTGACGTCTCAGAATTGGAGGATGGAAGTGGCGTTCTGCGTAGGCCCAGCAGAAAATCTTCTAGTTTCTGCAAACTGGCCAAAATGGCTGCATTGTAACTTAGTTCGTAGTCTAGGTGCCAGTGCGCTGCCTCTTCCGGTTTAGTCCCACCCGATCGGGGAACGCGCCCTCTCGCCGCTTGGCCCCGGGTATAAAGAGCTCTCTGCTCCTCGATCCCCTCCTTCATCCCTTCATTTCTGTCTTCTACTTCCTCCCTTGCTTCCCCCTCTTTCGCTTCCCTCCCAGTTAGCCTCCCCTTCTGGCATGTTACGCTGCCGCCTCCAGGTCCCGCAACACAAGGCGTGGATTAGCTTCCCGCCTCCAATCAACCTTCCCCTCCCATCTTTGCGCTCTCATTTGACGTTTGAAAAGGCAGGGGCACCCATTCAGTGACACAGGGGATAAGCACGGAGTGTACGACTCTCTATCAGACAACAATAAGCACTAGTAGACGATACACTAAAAAGCTAGTCAAACATCACAGTTTATCGTGCCGCATTTGGGTTGTCTCAGCAAGCCAAAAGACCACAATGACCAACTCCCCAGAAGTGTTGTGGCAAAGCGCCTATTTTTCCCTTGTCCCGCTGGCTATCAGCGTCATGACTCAACCTTGCGGCGACATGTTACTTCTCCCATCTCACAATCGAATCTACCTGCGAGTTTCTCCAATCGTGTGCGCACTCGACAGTCTCGCGATTCTGATACGATTCTGCGTCTACATATCCAGCGGCATAGGTATCCGCAATAGCGCAAGAAAAATAGAGAAGAAGAGGTTCAAGGTCAAGTTTGGGCTAGCGTTGAGAGATGCTGATCCAGATCGTGAAGAAATCTCCCGAAGCCTGGAGAATCTGACGTTTTTGCGATGGATCCTCTTCGCAATAGGGACATTGCCTACGACAATCAGACTGTTGGCGATGGGTGGGGTGCCCTGGACCAAGGCCTTCGGGATCATGTTCCTGGTATCGTTCTTCGTGGTTGAGATTGTGGTGGTATTCATAGGGAAAGATTTGGGTCGGTCTTCTATTCCCAGGTCGCCACAGTACAAGGACGACGATCCAGGAGCAGAGAAGTATGCATATCAAAACTCGTTTGATTTTGCTGCCGCATACCTATCAATGTAGCGTCCTCCTTTTACTCCTGCGACTCTGTCATTCCCGAAGTGAAGAATTTACTCATTCCTGAGAGCACTCGCTATTGTGTATTGTATTGGCAGTCGGAATCTCGCTGACCCTCACTTCACAGGCGCGAAGAGCATCTGAAGAAAATCGATCATCTCGGCGCGGTCTTTGGACTTTTATTACACATGGGCCTTCTAACCTGGGCCTGGATCATGATTTGTCGCCGCGCAAACGGCTACCTGATGCGTGATGTGATCCTTCTCATCAAAGTCATCACCTCCATTTTGTGTATTGTCGCATTCTTATGTCTATCGATATCTATACTCCGTCCACAACTCCTCCCTCTGCGTTCCTGGATGCCGAGACCCCTAAGGTCTTTTTCAACACTCCTCTGGGGTGTAACGGTGATCCCCTTGGTTCCCTCTGATGATAGCTGGCACAGTCAGAGGAGGTTACATAAATACGCCAGAGACTGTTTCAGTTTAGTTATTCTAGGCGGGTTGATTATTTCCCTCACGCACCTCTTTAGGGTTCTCGCGAAATGTTCGCGAATGTTTCGGGCCAAGATCCTGCTTATGAGCGAGGATACTGAGTACAGCAATCCTCAACGTTGGGTGGATGGGACGTTTACCGTCGACGAGGAGGAATACCTGGACAGTTCAATTTATTCCTGGACGATGTTTCTGGTCAATATCGTTACACCACTTGTCTGGTATAGGGTGATATATGATCCAGACGGGACTATCAGACCTGCATGGACAGATGCCTTTGGATGAAAGTGGAATGCCAGCTGATTTTGAGGTCAGCGACTCACGAGCTGCTGGCGCACACCACTAGAGCTGCAGCCATTCTCACCGGCCGCGAAATAGAAAAACTTTACCGCTGCAGCCCGCTCACCACCCTGAAGATCTGTAATATTTACGTGACTTGGTACAGGTCCTAGTTTCAGTCCTTGAGAGGCTCTTTCAGGCTCCTGCTCCATCATGGTACCCTCAACTCCCCAACCGAGTACTTTGCACATGGAAATTTTTGTCTATGATCACGCCTCGCTTTGAGTCGTCTTATCGCCTGCTAGAGAGCTTTGCGTTACGGATATGACGGCAGATCTATGGTTATGTCCGGCGCTTCGTGGATCATCCGTCACGACTGGCGTCACAACATGCACTGGCCAGAGCATATCAAGCGAATGGACAGGTCAAGGAGGCGGTGTCGCTACTGAAGGAGGTGGTCGAGATCCGGGAGCAGATACTGGCAGAGGATCATCCGGATCGACTGGTGTCACAAGAAGTACTAGCTACAATCTATTGGGACCTTGGCCACCACAACAACGCGGTCCACATGATGAAGCACGTCGCTGGTATAAGAAGTCAAGTGCTTGACGAACAGCACCCGGGCTGGAAGAACTCAGAAGCTTGGCTCGAGTATTTCAAGGATGAGTTGCGTGAGCTCGAGCCTACATAGAATTGCGATGCACGGTTCTATCTATCACGCAAGCCAAGTACGTCTAATCCTTATCCCTAAACGAACACTGCTATTTTTTCATCGCCTGCATAGCGTGCGGGTTGTTGTCTTCTGATTTTCTCTTTCTTTGCGGGCAAAGCGAGGCTGCTTACGGAAATGAGGGATATCTCTGCATATGAGTAGTCCACATGAACATCTTGTGCGAGCCGTGTCCGATAGCAGGGTTCTTGTATCTCTTTTTCCACCTTTTGAATTGCAACTGAAGTTCTTATGATGGCTTTGAGTTTACATCACACCGTGTCAACACCTGACACTTTCAGGTCCTTGTCTCTTTTGAGAGATACCTCAGAAGCAATCTTCGGAACTCTTCGTGTGTGACTCAGAAAAGGGAAGGGGGGGTTTGGTTTTTGAAGAGTGTGAAGTTAGTAAAATTAGACTGGGTGACAAAAAAGGCGGGAGTACGTCACATGATCCGTGGTGTAACAGACGCCGAAAGCAGCGTCAAAAACTGCCTAAAACAGCGTCCTATGTCCCGGAATCTAGAGTTGTGAAGTAGACACAAGCTGGGACGTTTCGACAGCCGCAACAGCCGCAACAGACGCTCGGAATTGGCTCTGACACGTGATTCCACGCGCTAGGCAATTGGAGCAAGGTTGCTGCCGATTACACTTGAGCTTCTTCACCCGACACGACTGGCAAGACACGGGCTCCTGGCGCGGTCGCTGCCTCCGCTCAATCGATTGCCGTCCCTGCATAATGGCACGAGTCACAGCAGAAGCATCTGGTGACGCCGGTAAGTACAGATAGATAAGCAGTGTGCTATGGAGGATGATGTTGGTAAGAGAGCAGGCGATGTAAGGCTGGGAAATCCCCCGGATCTTCCATGGACACTCCGAGGGTCCTCCACGGACAGCCCATTGGCCCCTATCCACTTGACAGACCGTATATTGCCAACAATGCGCCCTCCTGGACGTGAAGCCGTCCTTGAAGCTATATACCGGAACGCTCGAAAACATACCAGCACCACTTTCCGAAGACCACCAAGCCATGGCAAAGGCAGCTCAGGGTTCGGCATCCTTGGACCCTCGAGAGATCGAGAACGAAGCCACAAGCAGACAGCCCGAATTTACGTAGGTTGTTGAACCATACCGATTCCTGATACTGAGCCTCTCCAGCCCAAGATCGACAATGCTCATCCTCGGCGCATCAGTATCATTATTCTGTACCCTTGGATTCATGAACGCGTTTGGAGTCTTCCTTGCTTACTACCATCAGCATTCACTCAGCCATAGATCTGTTTTCGACATCTCCAGGATTGGTTCTCTTGGCATCTTCGTGTTGACGCTGGGTGCTCCAGTGGCAGGGGTTCTGGTAGACAAGACTGGTCCTTTAGTATGTTATAGGGATCTGCAATCAGAGGCATGATGCTAAAAGAGTTACACTAGATACTGCTCGCTGGAGGTAGTACTGGCCTATTGTGTGGGATCTTTGCGACCTCGCTGTGCACCGAGTACTATCAGTTCTTTCTTGCACAGGGTCTGCTTCTGGGGTTCAGCATGTCATTCCTGTTCACGCCTGCCCTCGCCACGGTATCGCGTTACTTCGTTCGGCATCGTAGTCTAGCGCTGGGCATTAGCGTCTCTGGTTCTTCTATCGGAGGGATTATCTGGCTAATCATGCTTGATCGGCTTCTGAATAATAATGGCGTCAGCTTCGGCTGGACAATGCGGATCGTTGGCTTCACGATGCTGCCTCTGCTTTTTATAGCATGTTTGACTGTCCGATCACCGTCAAGGACTTCCCAGCTGGACGATGACATTGCCGGGGGACTTCATGGCTCCAAAGGTCACCAAACCGATCTCTCAATCGCCAAGAGCTTCACCTTCTTGCTGATGTGCGCCGGAATGGCAATTGCCTCCTTGGGAGTGTTTGCCCCTCTCTTCTACATCACGTCCTCGCAACCAGCCTGGGTATGTCAGCAAGTATCTCATTCTACCTTGTCTCGATGGTGAATGGGGCTTCATTGTTCGGCAGAGTGCTTCCAGGTCTTCTTGCAGATTGTTTCGGGTGTTTTAACATTTGCTCGGTTGCCATCTTCATCTCCGGACTGATAGCACCTTGTTGGACGAAAGCGACAAATGTGGGCGGTTTAGTTGTCTGGGCCTTGGCATATGGGTTTGCCAATGGGGTACGTCAAATTTCGCACTCTGGCTCATCGTCATATGGATATGTGCTCACCTTTAGACAAGGCCATCATGAGTCTGCAGACTGCTTGTGCTGCGCAACTCTCTACCCCTGCAACGCGTGGGACAGCTCTAGGGTTGGTCATATTAGCTATCTCATTAACGTAAGTCTTTATTACGGTCTGTTCTCGGAGAGAAATATGCTGACAGCTGACTTTGAAAGAGATTTGTTCGCAACGCCTATGAGTGGTGAGCTGATCACGTCCGGCTAGCTCGCCATTTCAACATTCAGTGGGGTGAGCTTGATGGCTGGGGGACTCATACTTTTCGCGTCACGATGGCGACAGAATCCCAAGTTGGCGGCAAGAGACTAGATCAACCAAACTGTCTTTCGTGTTCAGTAACGTAGACAAGTATTTTCACACGCCGCCTTATCCAGCAAAGAAATCCGAGTCTCTCTATCCAAGGCAGGCTTGAGCCCCTTAGGCCTAAAATGCGTTGGGAACTAAAGGAATTGAGTCTCCGCTCATCGCATCAACTTATATATCACCGTCTATAGCAGTATCACATCAGCTGTGCAAGCGGTGAAGGCAGTCTCACCTCCTTTCTGGTCCGTAACTCTGGCATTGTAACTTTGTATCATAGCTGAAACCAGGCCAGATGAGATGCCTTGCCCATGGCCAGCTCGTCTCTCGTACCAAGCAACAGAGGTGGCATGATTCTACACCTCTGGGTACAGCATTGCCTCCCATTTCGCCATCCACTCCCAATCAAAGCCAAACCCTGGATAGGTCTTGGCAGTGTATGATGACCTAATGAGAGCTTGGAGAGCGAGAGGCTAAAAGGAGTGGTTAGTCAGCACGAACCACCCCCCGATGACGCCTAACCAGTTCCATTTGCCGGCAATGCTTGGGATGCATGAATTTGAATTTCTGCTTCGGCATCTTCTCGTTTCAACGAACAGTCTTGAGTCCGGAAAAACATCATTGCGATGTTGCCCTTGGGTTTCTGATGCTCATGATACACAGCCCTGCCATTCACTACCGATCCAGACCAGATCACACGAGAGTTAGTACTGGCTGCGCCATCTGAGTCGACTGCAAACGAACACGGCGACGGAAGGTTGTACTGCTTCAAACTTGCTTAGATGAAGGCCTGAAGCAAGTAGATAGTCTTACCACTCGGTACTCGCTCCATCATACGCCTGCTTAGCAAGCATTGAGCACGGTCTGCATCTGCTGGAAGAAGCCTGAATTGAGCTGCCTGTTATACATCAATCAGAAGACCAAATGAATATGGCCAGCTGGTTTACCTCCGTTTCTCCTCTCGATGAGCAAATCGAGAAGGCAACCTTGTCTAGTCTGGAAGACATTGCCACTAGCCTTGAGATCTCCGACCTGATTCGATCAAAGACAGTCCAGCCCAAAGATGCTATGCGATCGCTGAAGAAACGCATTGGCAACAAGAATCCGAACATCCAGCTATCGACATTGAAGCTTACAGACACCTGTGTGAAGAATGGAGGATCGCACTTTCTGGCTGAAATTGCATCGAGGGAGTTTATGGACAATCTGGTGTCGTTGCTGAAAGCATACGGAGGAGCCGCCGTCAATGAAGATGTCAAGCAGAAGATACTGGAACTCATACAAACATGGGCCAGCGCTACTCAAAACCGATATGATCTTTCCTACGTCAACGAGACATATCGAACCTTACTCCGCGAAGGCTTTAGGTTCCCACCCAAAGTCGAGCTCTCGAGCAGCATGATTGACAGCAGCGCGCCACCGGAATGGACTGATTCAGATGTCTGCATGCGGTGCCGAACTCCATTCACTTTTACAAACCGCAAGCATCATTGTCGAAATTGTGGGAATGTGTTCGATCAGCAATGTTCAAGCAAGACTATACCATTACCACACTTGGGAATCATGCAGCCAGTACGCGTGGACGATGGGTGCCACGCCAAATTGACGAGTAGACACTCTGGATCATTTGGTGGAGAACGACGGGTTTCATTTGCGCCCAAACCAAGCACCATGCAGCCCCGGAGTGCTAGAATAGAAGGAACTAGCTTCGACGAAGACCTGCGACGAGCTCTCGAGATGAGTTTAGAAGATGCCAAGGGTGGTGCGCCTGGTTCCGGTTATGTACCGCAGTCACATCTGAAGAAGACGACGCCTTCAACAAGGACAAACGGAATTCAGAACGAAGAGGATGATGATCCAGATTTAAAGGCAGCGCTAGCTCTGTCTTTAAAGGAGGCTGAGGAGCAAGCCAAGAAGCATGCCGCGTCAATGAAGAGGTCAACAGAATCGGGATTAGATTCTCAATCAAGACAACCGTTTGTGATGCCCAAAAATGACTATGAGCTGAGCATCGTGGAAGCAGAAAATATCAATCTGTTCTCTACTTTGGTCGATCGACTCCAACACCAGCCACCGGGCACCATTCTCCGGGAGCCACAAATTCAAGAACTATACGAAAGCATTGGAAAGCTTCGGCCTAAGCTGGCAAGGACATTAGGAGAAACAATGTCCAAGAATGACACTCTTCTAGACCTTCACGCCAAGCTTTCCACTGTCGTCCGCTACTACGATCGGATGCTTGAGGAACGAATGTCAAACACATATAGTCAACGAACTAATTCTTATAGTGGCTATGGTGTCCCGTCACCGCAGATTTCAGCACCACAATCTAATATGTACCCGTCTATAGCATCACAAGCTGGGCCGCCGGCCAACCACACAGGTGCAGAGAATTACTATTTTAGTAATGCACCAGTCGATTCGTATGCGCCTCCTGCCAATGCTCATCAAACCTACCAACAGGCATATACGACCCATGACATTCCTACATCACAATACGCGGCTCAACAACAACAACAAGCACCTCCTCCACAGTCTCAACCCAGCTATCCACCAGCTGAACAGCAGCCGTGGCATAGCCAACCACAACCATCATCCCCACAAGTATATTCTCAACCACCCCCAACATCCACCCAGCAACTACCGTCACAGCAATACCAACCACAGCAGATGCCCCAGCCTCAGCCAGAACATCAACAGCAACCGTCGCATCCAACCCAGCAACCACAGTCTCCGTACCAACAGCAGCAACCTCAATCGCCTTATTCACAGCAGCAACCACAATCGCCTTATCCACAGCAGCAACCATCTCAACCACAAAATCACCAACAGCAATATGACCCATCGCAGCAACAACAACAACCGCAACCGCCGCAACCGCAGCAACAACCTCCACCACGCTCGCAGCCACAATCCAATGTCCCATACCCAGCTTTCACAACTTACACACAAGACCAATTCCCTGCCGCGCCCCAGCATCAACCCATGCCCACCATGCAACAACAAGTAGAGCAGCCTCGGCCTGTCGCTGTGGAGGAGAGCTTGATTGAGCTGTAAGAGTAACATGGCATAGGCCCGTTCGTCCCCCGGAGCGCACTGGAATGGATTACCAGGGATATGCAAGGTCTTCAATTTCGTGCAGGTACGGCAGGACCGGAGCTCCGCGCACTAGGCCATGGGAGAGTTAGGTAGTATTGAGAGCATGACAGCCCGGCGGTATAGTATATGAAGTCTGAATGCAGGAACGGCAGTCGGAAGGCAAATGTACCAAGTACCAAGTACCAAGTACCAAGTAGTAGATGCGACCGGGAACAAGCCAGCAGCAATCCAGCACCTGAATTGATGTCCAATATATCAATTTTGATAGAATAATCCCCCGTTTTCTCCTTCCCAGACGCTCTGCCCCTCCGACACGGTGCCGCGTCACAAGGTGCCCGGACGAACCTTACTTCTGTATGATGTGATTTAAGCAGTAGGAGAAGGGCATCTGCTCGACTCACACAACGTACTCCAAATAGTTGCTTGATTTAGTCATGTACCCAGCCAGACCAGCACATCAGGATCCGGATTCAGAATTCGGGATCTTATCCCTTTCTTCAGTTGGGGAGGATAGATAGTATATAGTGCTTCCATTATTCGTGCCCTGATTGTAGTGCTCGCTCGATATTTCATTCATCAATGGAATATGATAGCGCACCTCTGCTATACATCGCTATCGCTACCGCTATCGCCGTTGCTATTGTCGCATTGGAGCTTCTCTGGGTCGGATGAAAACGATCAGGTCATTTATCTTTCTGGTCTGACCCTCCCCACAACCGCGCTTTGTTACAGACCAGACAGGGTGTTTGCATTGACAGGGTCAGTAGGCATCACTCCAAACCTCCTCATCGCTCTCTTCCCGCGTGAAAGACATCTTCCTGGAGTCGCTGGCTCCGTTTCCCACCACCTCTTCCTTCCCCTTGTTCTCAATAAACTCATTGCTAAATCTTTCAAGATCCCACTTCCTAAATCCTTGCGCCCTTCCAATCCACTGCTTAAACTCGTACCCCCCCTTCTTTTCTTCTCCATATCCCTTGTACCTGCCACCAGCGTTGGCTGGTCGGTCACTCTTCTCCCTCTGCTGCGCAGCCAATCTCTTGGCAACTTCGTTCGCATCGAAGAGACTGACGAGTTGTCTTCTGCCGGGACGAAGACACGCGGCTTCATGCACTATTCTCCAATTCTTGACCGGGTTGCTTTCAGAGACCTTGTTCCGGTTTTTAGGGAGGAGGAGAGCTGGACTCGGATCCACGACCGAAGTAGCATTTCTGTGACGCTCGATTGTGGGAGGGTGATCCATTCGATCGCGCAGGTAGGCATTATCGACGATGTCCAGCACCGTCATTCCCATGGCGTTTTCCTTGTAGAGGAGCGATGGGTTGTAGCTTATGATAGCTTCTATGAGCTTGGAGCGGTCGCCACGGACAAGGTAATGGAGTGGATAGTCGCCTGCACCATCCATGATTTCGAGGTCTGCACCCTTGCTGTATTCGAGAAGGACTTGGACGACCTCCGCGTCAGTGTTGCCGACGGCGCTGTTGTGAATCCAGAAGGCGAAGGGAGTTAAGCCACCGACGCGTGTGCTTGCGCAGCGTTCGAGGAGCATAGTCGGGATCAGAGATTGCTCAAGAAGGCCAAGAATGGCGCGAAGGACCTTCGGGTCTGAGCTATTCGCATACAAGATGGTGTGAAGTAAGTTCTCGCCCATGCGATTGCGCGTGGCTTGGTTGGCACCTGCTGCGATGAGAGTTTTCGCTGCGTAGAGTCGATTGAGTTGGAAAGCTAGTTGAAGGGGAGTGATGCCGGTAGATGACTTGGCATCAATGGCCTCCGGCATGTTTCGAATGAGGAATTCCAGCGTCGGATTCGAACCGTCCTTTCGAGGCTTCGCCATTACAGCCATGTGTATGGCAATATTGTTGCGGTCCGTAAGCCATTTTGACAAGACTTGATCGATCCCGCCTTCTGCTTGATCAAGCACTCGGATGCGTTTGTCGTCTTTATTGGCAGCTGCAAACTCCTTGTAACGACGCAATGGAGCATCTCCCAAGAAATACTCGGTGGACTCCAAGTTGCCTTCAAAGATCACCGAGAGTAACGGAGGAACGTCTTCCTCGACTGGTGCGCGCGTTACGCCCCGGCCCTGGTCGGCCCAGTCTTTCCGCTTCTTGCCATAAACTGAAAGACCTTGATAGTATTTTGGCTTTTCCTGGACCACTACGCCGGAAGTGTCCACCAATTTCTGAAGGGGTAAGCATGCACCTGTCGCTGCAAGGAAGTGGCCTATCATCTCCGTCCGTCCCAGACGAACCGCGAAATCAAAGTCCGATTTCGAGCATGTGAAGACCTTAAGGCTCTCATCGTCTGCCTTACTTCTCGCAAGCCCATTGCCAACCTCCGTCAGAAATTTTAACATCGCCATGTCGTTCTTAGCGATCGTGTATCTGATAAGAGACCATCTGCAGCGATTGGATTCCATGTCCCAGAGGGCGTGGAAATACGGCCACGAAGTCTTTGAAGTATTGTAAAGATACGGGCTGCGGTTTGAGGGACCTGGCATAAGGGTTTTCTTCGCAGCCTTGTCGTTTCTAGAGTTCTCCAGCGCCCTCCAGATCTCTGAGTGCCAGGTCAAAAGCTGTAGGGGCGACACTTTCGATCTGATCCTGTCGGCAAGAGCAGTGACATCATTGACAGTGTAATCGTTGTCAACGAGTTCTGAGACGACGTTGACGTCTTCACTGTCATCATCGCGATCCATCTCGCTTTCGTCCTCGTCATATGGGCGAATGGTGTACCTATATTGGTCTTTCTTCTCATTTGGCTGATATTGCACAGCAGATATCTCAAGGACGACTTTGACCAGTTCACTATGACCTCTGAGCACAGCGATCGATAGAGGGCTGAACCCCTGAAGATCTTTCACTGCTATCTGCAATGGTTCGTAATGGGCTCCCCAAGCACCAAGTGTGAGACTTTTCAATGTTGGAATGTCGCCCTTCCAAGCAGCCTCGAAGAGCTGGAAGTATCCATCCATCTTGACTTTCGTCAAATCGGGTACCAGGAATTTGTGAGTTGTCATGTATGGCTCCTTCTTCCGTGACGCTTCTTTGTGATTGTAGTAGCCCCACGAATGAGGAGGCTGGTTTTCTTGGAGTTCGGGGTACAATTCCCTGAATGTCCTGGCCCCTCTTGCAAGTAAGGCTTTCTCTACTGCTTCATATTCTGACAATGCTTCCGCTATTGCGACCATTTTCTCCCGTGTACCTTCCTGGGGGTCTCCAGTTTCCTCCAACGACTCTTGATACCATTTCCTCTGCAAGCCATGCAAAGATCGTGCTTGTGCCAGGTCATGAACCGCAAGCCAATATCGGTAAGTGCCCTTCTGTAGCCCTTGCAAGTAGAACTCATCCTGCTCAAGTGCTGCCGGAGGGTCCAACTCCTCGTTCTTATCACCTTTGTATTCCTTGAGTTGCTTCGCTTGGTCTTGAACGAGATCCAGAAGGGATTTAGTTTCCTCATACCCCGTCGTTGATGGATTGTGTACCATGTTGTACGCGCCTTTAGGCAAAGTGTTCACGTCAGCACCCAGCTCAAGCAGCTTCTGCGCTACCTTAGGCAAGTCGCACTTGATAGCGGTGATGATCGGCTGCTCGATCGTGGCCTCATAAGCTTTCTTCATGTCCTCTGGGTCCTGTGAGGCATGCTCAAAGGTACGATGGTATGCACGCACAAACACTTCGCGGTGGATAGAATGCTCTGCACCAAGCTCTAGCAACTTGTCTACCATGGTAACATGACGTCCTCGGATTGCAGTAAGCAAGGGGCTACTGACCTCAGCATAATGTTGCCAGCCACTTATGGTCAGATGATTGACAGCCCTTTTGGCGGCTGGCTCATCGAACTTCAGCAGAATGTCAAGTATCTCAGTGTTGCCACTATTAACGACATACTCTAGGGCAGAGAAGCCATGCAAGTCGGCTTGCGTTGATGAAGCTCCCCGGGCAAGTAGCTTTTCCGTTGTCTTGCAGGCTTCTAGGAGAGGAAGCTGAAGTGCGAGTACGAGCGCAAGGATGGCGGCACGAGGACTTTTGTTGTGCTCATTGACAAGCTTGACCGGAAGCAAAACATCCGCTCCAAAGGTGGACACCAACAGCTCGATGACCTCCACATGGCCGCCCAGGATTGCCAAATGAAGAGGACTGACAGGATAATCCCAGGCAAGGACGTTCACATCATACACATCTGGTTCATTCTCATTGTCAGAGTCAGGCGTGGCCGAGTCTTCATTTGGGCCTGGAACTTTGACGAATGAACCTTCAGTCATCCGATCCGAGTCAGCACTGTCACTGTCCTCGATGAGATCTTCATTTTCGCGGTCATCGTTTCTCTCTATCATTTCGATATCCTCAGAAGTAAGACCCCGGTTGTTACCTTTTGCTTCTCTATCAGCACGCCTTGCTTCCTTCTTTAGGTCTTCTTTGCGTGCTTCCTCCTCCTCGTTTGCTTCACTCTTGTCAAGGATTGCTTTGACCATGGCAGTATTTCCTCTGCGAGAAGCAATGTGCAACGAGGTGAAACCATCCACCACTCTTGCCACAAGACGTGCTCCGTGGTCGATCAAGCACTGGACAATTTCAGGTGTACTGCTCATTGTAGCGAGGTGAAGTGGTGTTCTGCCAGTATGATCTCTACGGTTGACATCCGCCCCTTCTTGCTTGCACCAATCCTCGACATGCTCGAGATCTCTGTCAACGATCGCTTGACATAGACGTTCGGTATTGCCAACATAGGCCATCTCGGTCCAGTCATCATCAGTGATGGGATGGAAGCTACCGATTTCTTGACGACCAGGGTCATCTTTCAGAAAGCTGATGTCACCAGAAATGAATACCTTTGACTCCTCTTCAGCTGCCGCCAAGTCTTCGTCTGTAAGTGGTTCAGGACAAAACCCGCAGCAGTCATGAATCACATCATTTACAGACCCGAAAAAAGCAGGGTGACGATGCAGATTGGTCTCTCGATCTTTCGGCTTATTCCATTCCGCATTGAGGAGGAGGTCTTTCGTGAACAACAACTTTTCAATCTTTCTAGCGTTGTACTTTGGACCATATGGAATCGTGAAAGTATGATAGTTTGAGATATCGTCTTCTTCAACCCATTCTGCAACGTCATCTGGCTGTGAATCCTTCACGTTGCCAGGTAACTGCTTTCGGTAGCGAGCATTCCATGGCAGCGGGGGTCGTCCACGTTCTTCTCTACGCTTGGCAAGGTAGGTTTCGCGGTCATTTGGGCCTGGCAGCTTTTCGAACACTAGAAGCCTCGCGAGTCCCATGACTCGAGAAAAGGATCTTTCGAAGATGGTGGGGTCGATCTTTGACCTGTCGAGCAGGGGCCAGTAAACCTCAAAGCCTCTGTGTGAGTATTTTGAGAGGCGATTCTCGTATGATGGCGAGCGACGAGAAAGGTCAACAGTGTTGGTCTGCGTTACATACGCGGCCACTGCGCGAGGAGCAGCCCACACCTGACTGCCATCGTAAGCAACGCAAGAACAATCAACATCAAAACCGGTAAGAATCTCGGAGACGCTCTTGTACAGGCGAAGGACGACCTGCACGTGGCGAGTCGGATATTGAGATACAATAGTTATGGCGTGTTTGGTCCGAATTGTTGTTGTCTCGCTGAGGATGCTATCACGAATCTTCGTTTCAACCTGCTTGATCTTCTCGATGGCCTGCTCCTCGTTGAGCCCATAGATGAATAGGTCTACATCAGAAGCGGGAGCAAGTTTCTCATGGTAGTAAGATCTGATATTATTAGAATGCTAAAGATCAAGGGGACAAGCTTTCTCGCCTTAGTGCTCTCTTGCTCTCATTATGCGGTGCCCCAACCGGAAGCAGAGATGTGACAACCGAGCTACCAGCAGCTACGATATTGTTCCAGTCAAGATCAACGAGGGAAGATTCGGAGAAGAGGTTGAAGTTTGAGCGGAATTCCTTGATCGAGCCGACCATCGCGGAAGAGCCATTGAGTTTTCTATCACCAGCAGAAAGGGGGAGCAGATACTTATCTCTTTCTTCATGAGTCTCGTGATCGAGGTCACGGGCGCGGACCTTGATCGTCTGCTCATGGCCTGCAAACAGCGGCACAGTGTTGATATGACGGTCGTTCAGAACGGGACTGTCTCGATGCTGAGCAAACGTCTCTCGAAGCTTTCCCTCATAAGCTTTGTAAGGTTCAAGCGCTTCTGCTACCTTTGATTGACTGGCAAGATAGGGAAGGAAATCCTGCATCGAAGCAGGCAACGACGGTAGATCCATGGCGATATCTGGTTGACGAGCTTGAACCTGAGATGAATATGAACAAAAAGGTCCAAGGGAAAAGTACTTGGTCTTGAAAGTAGACAAATTTTTCCTGGGAAAACAGCTGAAGATCAGCGAGACTGGATATTCACATTGACAAAGCAGAAGCGGAGAAACACGAAAGCAGGAGAGAATCATGCGATCTTAATAGTCACATTGAGACGCGAAAGTGACGCGTTGAAATGTGATTTCCAGTAGAATAGGCCACAGCTTACGGTTGCCTAGCAGGATGGCAGATTCTATCGCAAGAGTGGGACTTTGTCTACAGGCATCAGCATCTTTATTGTCGTGCTCAGGGGTAGGAGTAAAGCCCGTAACAATTCATTGTACCTGGAATGCTCCCATTGGAATGCACGCCAGGTTAGTGGTGTTTAGTAATCCGGGCTAAGAATCCTAGATCAAGGCAGCCACAACCCTCAGTCTTAAGGTCAATTCAAATTTTGGATGCCCCACAGTCCTTGCTGATTATTCTTATCTCAACTAATACTACATGTAATTGTGTACGAAGATTTACTCAATGATTTTTGTGCCTCTAAGAGGATGTCTTAAGAGGGTGTCTTTAAGGGGGTGTCTCTAAGAGAGTGTTTCTAGAAGAGTATCCTAAGAGAGTATTCCGAGAGATGCCTCTAAGAGAGTGTTCTTAGAGAGGGTCATAAGAGAGATTGTCCCTAAGAAAGTGCTCTTGAGAGGATGTCCCTGGAGGGAGTATCCCTAAAAGAGTGTCCTCCGGTCCCTGAAAGAGTGTCTCTAAAAGAGTGCCCCTAAAATAGTATCCCTAAAAAAAGTGTCCCCAAGAGAATGTCCCCAAGAGGATGCATCTAGGGAAGTGTCTTAAAGCGATCTTAAATTTCAAAATTGATTTTGAAAATCCAAAAATTTGAATTGACCTTAAGCCCGTAACAGTCCGCCGTACCCAGGTCCCCAAAAGTGCCCGCGTTCCCCTTCAGTGATTCGATACCCAGCATATGATCGAGGCTATAGCCATATGCCGGAATGCCACTGATCCTTCAGAAATGGACAAAGGTTACAACGACCTCACCTCCACTACTTAGCTAGCAGGGGCGACCACCATTCCCACACGCCATGCAACAATGTAACATGACTTATACCGGATCAGGGACCTCAGCAAGATGAGGCAAAGCTGGACCAGTATCGCCGAGTCCGAAGCGGAGTTTGGCAGGCAGATAAAGGTGCTGCACAAGATGATCGATGACCATCGTGAAGACTCTTCGAGAAAACCATGCCCGGATTTGAAGAGCGCTTGGAATAAGGGAGATCGAGGTCCCGTTCGAAGATATCTTACATGAAGACATTCTTGATGGAAATTTCATGGACCACTTCTCAGATCATTAAGAGGATATGATTCCGTGGCGTCCGTCGAGTCGTCTACAGACGCTCTGTCGCCTGAGCGGAGGCCTTGCTCTTCGTCAGGCTTTGACCTGTTTTGGTTTGCTTGAACTGCGAACTCGTATCGACTTGGATAGGGTTGATCACAGTTTGCCAAGCGCACAGAAGGATAGTATCTTCGATACGAGAAATATGCGACCAACATGCCCAGAAGAGAGCCGCAACTGACATCGAAAACATCGTGCCGATAGTCTTCAAGTCTAGAAATAGCGATGAGAGCTGCACCTACTAGAGGGGCCAGAGCAATGAGTACGCGGGCAAGGTCAGTTCGAGGGCGGAAAATATGCATTTGGCCGGCTAAAAATCTAGAAATGTTTATCAGCTTCACTGCTTCTCGCTCAAGCAGAATGGATTGCATACATTGCCAGATAGCCTAGTCCAGAGAACGCCCAGCTGCTGTGGCCGCTCGGAAAGCTCCTCCAGCCATCCTGTAACATATGGGAGTTCGCCTCTGTGCAGACATCGATTGTCAGAAGTGTGTTGTTCGGTGTGCCCTCTTTGGGCTTGCAGCGCGCAATCAAGTCAGGTCGAGGTCTTCCAACCGAATTCTTAACAACATCAGTGAGGAAGGTCGTGAGTGCCAAGCTGATCAATAGCCCAAGGATCGAAACATGAGCTTGATGAAACCCAGAACGTGCAACCAATGTCCAGACGAGTATAACAACAAGAGGAATGCCGCCTCCGTAAACAAACAACCAGACAGGAGGGACTCTTTCCACAAGAGCATGGGGGTATGACTTCGATCGATCGTCAAGGTAGAACATGCGATGGAAGGGTTCGATAAACAGTCCCATCTATTCAACGTGTCAGCATTTCCTCGTCCTATCGACGACTTTATTACCAGCGTATATGCAGTAACCAGCAAGACGTAGCCCAAGTAATCAGGGGCGTAGGACCGTTGCCAGAACCTCCCGATTGACCCAATGAAACCTGGTTGTTGCAACCAGGCAGATGCTTGCCTTCCATGCTTTGTGGTCGAGCGATACGACATCACCGCTTCTGTTTTGATTCATGTACAATGCGTGACTGAAGTGCACCCCATACCATCAGGCGCATCCACATGGGGAGTAAGATCGATCGCGTTCAAGAGATGAGAAGCACGGACCAGATTGAACTCCGCAAATTGGGAGCTTTGATTGGCTACATATCTGATGGCTAGGGATCGCGCGGGTGGCGGCCCGGGGCTTGTCAAAATGCGGGTAGTCTGCTGCCCCGGCTATATTTCGGCTAAAACGCAGACGAATTCTGACAACCCTTTGGGGCAAAAATCTTCCGACGGATAGACATTGGTAGGCTGGCACCTCATCACCTTGTATATATTACGTATGCCCCGGCGCACACATTCATTGGCCACATTGTGCATTCTTGGCATTTGCTGTGCAGCAATTTTGCCTGATTCAGATGTTTAATTTAAGGGATCTGTTTGTAAAATGACAGAAAAAGTAGGTGGATATATGAAATTCATTGGATGTGTTCAACGATGAGGACTGGATCTGATTCGGGTATCAATTGACATGTCTTATCATGGACAGAAACAAGGGAAGCTTCTCAAAAAAGGTGTAACTATGTATTGCCGACTAGCTGCTACTAGCACCATGCTATACGTAGTAACTACTACTAGTAGGTTGCCTCTTTTTGGCGTCTTGGCGCATACATAGTACACATCAGATTGCTGTACTCGAGCCGCCCCGGGAAAGTTGAAGTGCATTCCTTCCTACTATCAGAATTTAGAGTCTTGGACTCTACCTGGGAAGTCACAGTAGTAAATTGGCGAAAATCTACATATAAGTCTTTGAAGGGATCCAGTCATCTGTATATACCGTAGTAGTTGTCATATAATGACGTTAAATTCTTTTGCTTTCATCTCAATAAGTTGTAATCCTTCAAACTCAGTTTCATTTCCCATCAAGATCCCTGCGATAATTATTGAGTTCGGATCAGATTGTTGGCTCTGGAATGCCACTTCGGGCAGCTCGAGGCTGTTTCAACATATGCTGCTTTTTCCTCATGATTTGATCAATGAATGTGGGGCGGGACTAAGATGGCATTTTGAAGAGTCTCGGCGACAATACCATGTATTCATTTTCGCGCTAACAAGCGGCCAATTGCCGGCGCATGGAATACTGCCAGCCGCAGAGTTAATCCAAAGACTGTTGTGCTTTCCCTTTTATAACAATACCATGCAATTAATAGCCCAAATATAGCTGCTCTTGCCACGGTAGATGGCTATTGCCAGAGTCTCAAGCAGTCTCCAAACGGCAAGGCATACCCATCAACAATGGCAAACCAACAGCAACAAATACCAAACGCACCCTTCCCCGCCCCACCCCCCTTCTGGAAGCATTTCACCACCGAGAACCTCTCTCGCCTCAAAGCGCTGAAAGAATCCAATATCCAGCCTGAAGATATACCACTCGAGCTCAGCTACCTCGAGCCTCCTACACCACCCTCCGAGAACTACACCATCTTCGGAGAAGAACAAACCGTACGTACCCAGCACCTTAAGCACCGTCCCACCCGACACCGCTGATTAACACACCTTAGCTCTCCACGACCCTCCCCCCACTCTCACAGCTAGGAATCCCACAACTCTACCCCTCCACCCCAACCAACCAGAACCACCACGCCGCCTCCCTCCTCCAGATCCTCCGATCCCTACAGCTAAACTTCCAAGAATTAAGCGTGATCCTCTCTCAAAACCCGACCCTTGTCGGGCCGAAACTAGAAGATATCAAGAATCTGTTTCAGAATGCGCATTGGCTGATCAATATGTACCGGCCGCATCAGGCCAGGGAGAGTCTGATTGCGATGATGGAGGAGCAGGTTGAGGAGGGGAGGAGGGAGATGCAGGAATGTGAGAGGGTGAAAGCAAAAGCGGAAAAGCAGCTCGAGGAGATTGAGAGGGAGGGTCATGAGGTTGAGAGGAGGGATGGGGATGGTGGAAATGGGAAGAAGGATGACGATGTGAGGAATGGTACGAGTACGGCGGGTGCAACCGGTGCAGATGAGCGTGCTAAGTATTTATGGAGGATGATGACCGATATCGACATTGAAGCCGATTGAGCAAAATTTTACTGGTATCTATTCTCGCTCTAATCTAGGTCTTCTTTCAACCGTCGCCTCAAACCGTCAGCTCCGTCGCCTTGACCTCCGCAACCGCTTCCGCATATGGCTTCAGCGCCTCCTTGACCTCCGTCCGCAGAAACTTGTTCACCTGTTCCGGAGCCCTACCCACAAAAGTCCTGGCATCCATCAAATCCTCCAATTCATCCCAAATCGGCCGGAAATATTCGTCCTCTCGAATCCTCTCAATGAGATCGTTACTCTTCCCTTCCTGCTTCACCACAGCCGCAGCTTCGTGGCTCAAGATGCGGATGTGCTCGTGAGCTTCTTGCCTCGAGCCGCCCTTGGCCACGATTCGCATGATGAAATTCTCTGTCGCCATGAAGGGTAATTCGTCATTGATTCGTCGTTGAATCACAGCTGGATATACAACCAGACCTGAGGACACGTTGTCGAGCAATATCATCAATGCATCTGCGCACAGAAACATCTCAGGGAGGTCTATCCTTCTCACGGCCGAGTCGTCCAGCGTCCTCTCAAACCACTGCGCAGCATACGTATTAGACGTAGTACTATTCAGACTCGCCAGTTTCCGGCCTAACGAACATATCCTCTCCGAGCGCATCGGATTACGCTTATACGCCATAGCAGAGCTACCCACTTGTTGTTTCTCGAACGGTTCTTCCAGCTCTTTGAACATGGCTAAATGTCTTATGTCACCTGCTATCCTTTGGCAAGTCGCACCAAAAGAGGCAAGAGCATTAGAAATGTCGAGATCGATTTTGCGAGAGTAGGTCTGGGAGGAGATGATGTATGCAGGAGCGTGGCCGAAGCCTGCCTTTCTGGTGACGAGCTCGTCCAGCTTTTCCACTTTATCATGGTCGTTATTGAAGATCTGAAGGAAGGAAGCTTGAGAACCGGTTGTGCCTTTGACGCCACGGAAGCGAAGGTCAGACTTTGCGCGAGAGATATTTCGAAGGTCCATAAGGAGATCCTGGATCCAGAGACAGGCTCGTTTGCCTACCGTTGTAAGTTGGGCTGGTTGACCATGAGTGTAGCCCAGACAGGGAAGAGATTTGTACTCTTCAGCGAATTCCGAAAGTTTCTGTATGCATATCGCAAGCTTGGGAAGAAGGAGAGAGAGGCCGTCTCTGATGAAAAGCAGATCTGCATTGTCGGTGCAATAGCACGACGTTGCGCCCAAATGTATGGTGGCGGCTGCAGCTGGAGCAGCCAGCCCGAATGCATGCACATGTGCCATGACATCGTGCCTCCTCTGCTTTTCCTCTGCTGCAGCAATCTCAAAGTCTTCATCGGTCATTGTTGCATGTGCTTTCATCTGCGCGATTGCTTCTTCCGATATGTCAAGCCCGAGCTCTCGTTGTGATTCAGCGAGCCATATCCAAAGTAATCGCCATGTAGAAGCCCGTGTCCGAGCGGAGAAGAGGGTAAGCATTTCCTTGCCTTCGAAATAACAGTTAGTACTCTCCCATGGGCGGGCATGTTCGGAAGGAGTGCAGACATTGGGCTTACTGGCATATCGAGAGCCCAGGGGACTTGCCCAGCTATCGTAGGACGCCATTCCGGCGTTGAATATAAAGGTGGAAGCCGATGCAATATATATGATCGATTGTCGCTTTCACCTTTACTTCACAGAAGTCCTGGGTGAGTATAAATTTCCATGAGGGGCGCTTGGCAGGGGTTCCTCTACTAAGTACTAAGTTAGTAGTACTAGTACTCCGTACGTACCAGTAGAAAGAGTAGTTAAAGGTATGAGCTAAAGGTATGAGCTAAGTGCCGTTAGTGGAAGTGACAGCCATTCTGTCAAATGACCACCATACTAATATGATAAGAGAAGCATATTTCGGCTATACTGTGACCATATTTTTAGCAAAGTACGTTATAGATAATGAGATTTTATCAGATCACAGACGACTAAGCTGTGTATCCTTGTACTCTCTAAGCAATCTTATGGTTAGGCTCAGTCTAAGCGCACCTTGATGGCCCCCCTAGCATTATTTTAAGAGGCCTCTTCTAAGTTAGTAGTTAGTACTGCCCAGCATGCATTGCTTGGGGAATGTCTCGCTCCCTACTAGTACCGGGTAATGTTTCTTGCTTCGAGTTCTTTTTTCAGTGCGCCTGCATTAGAAGAATCCTCAACTATCTGAATGACTCACAAAACTGCCACCAGGTGTAGCTGGGCGGACTCAGCCTTGTCAAATACAAGCCCAGTCCGATTAGATCATTTTTACCGAATCAGAGCGTCATTTTCGTGGTGGACATAACGGCATCGGCCTTGGCTTGATATAGGGGATGGTAAGGCAGGGCAAATCAGGTCGTTTGATTCCACCTGTAAAAGATGCTTCGATCACTATCGCCAGGCAAGGTGCATTAGTGGGCCACACAGGGTGTCATAGCAGATCGCTATACCCAAGGCTCACCGCAAGGCTATCATGACAGTCTCAGGTCGTGAACATTGAAAAGCCACCAATTTTCGTCCCGATGGAAGTGCAACCACTACTTATCACGCCGATAGGCATCTTAGTCAAGCGAGTCAGATTAAAAGCAAAATGGCATCAGCACATGGGACTGAACCTTCAGAAATCCCTGATCTAGAACAGCAGCCTGTCACCCATTGCGGAAAATCCTCACCTTCAAGCAACGTATCCCGTGACCTTCCTCCACACGCGGAAAAGCCTTCACCTTCAGTCTTCCAACTTTGCTGGGAAGGCGAAGGCAAACCTTCGGTCATTCAAGCCTATTGCCAGCGAGCGATCGATCAGGGAGACACCGAGTGTATCTGGCTTTGTATCAGGCGTGGGAAACGAACTATTGCTAAAGACATTCAATTTAAAAACAATAGTGATTTTCAGCCGCATCCAGCTGGCTTCCGCAAGCTATGTGGTTGGTGGAAACGGCACTCTCTTTTCTCAGCCGTTGGATGCAAGGAAGTCCAGGTATGCAAAACTTCGAGCCCTATGTTTAGTCTTTTCAGCGGTGCTAAAGTTTCGTTGCACAGATTCGCTTCCTCGACTACAATGAGAAAAGAAACGAGGTCGAAGTCGTCCTGATGAATTTTGATTATAACAATAAGAGGGGTGAATTCGATAGGCTCCTTGGGAAAATGCTGAATGACGATATCGCTCGGGGAGAATGCGGAGTAAATGTCACCGGCGAGAATCCCCCAGAGTGTGACAAGCATAGGTGTGCCAACAGTGTGATGGATTACTTGGGAGATCAGTATTGCATGGTCCAGCACAAGAGGGCTCTGGAGAACCAAAGAAACGAAACCATGTGGTTGTCTCCGATGCTCGATTACTTCTGGCGGCATGGCGTTGGCAGAAAGGGCATTGAGTTCTTCAGGGAAACTGGATTCATCACTTCGTATCGGTAAGTTGCTTGATGGCTATCGAACACCCCAAAATGCAAGTCCAAAACTGACTACTCCTGTTAGTGAGCTGAAAGAGGACAGCTACAACGACGCCGCAACCCCATACGGCAAGACCGTCAATGCTTTCATGATTGTTGAGGGTTGGCGCATTGACTATCTGCTCTGGCTCATCGCCATCTCCCTGGTTGTCAGTATTGGCGTTGTTTGTGGTGTTGCAGTTGTGAGCCACAGTCTTGACGATGGATTGACTGCTGGAACCTACGCCCTTGGATTTTTCACCATTCCTTTGGCAGCCATGACGCTTCTCAGTGCTGTTCTCTAGACTTTCCAAGAGGAAGTTTTCACCAGTCCTGTCCGGAGCTCAATGAGATGAGTCCTGTCCCAAAGAGAACATGCAATATTCACTATGTAATACATATTTCTCGCGACGTATTTCAAGCTGCATGAGTGCGTTGCTGTGCTTTGTTAAATCCTTTTCAAGCAAATTCCAGCTGATAATACATTGCGCAAAGTCCACTTCTTCTCCGAGGCGTCTGTTTGTGCAGCAATCCTCAGTAAATTGATGATGACAACACTATTTAAACTATTCCTACCCAGATTTTGAAACTTCAAATCGTTCACCCCTGCTAAGTGGATTAAAATGGGCCTCGAACCTGTCCGTGGCGGCCTTCCTGTGACACCCTTCCCATTGTGCACATTTTAACCACCATTTGGTGATTTCACTATCCCACAGCGCCACATCCAGCCCATGTCGCAATGGTTGTCGCGTCTGTTTCCACGGGATTTTTGCTCCAACCCGTGCTTAGGGATCGAATCAACCTTTTCTGCAAAGCCCGGATCCCGTAGCCCCAGAGAATCCTACATCCGACCAGCAACGGGACGATCACAAGAGCCATTGCCTCTCAAAGCCCACCGCACTACTCTCTCTCGAGCTGAGGATGTCCACAAGCCCTGCAGCAACGTTTCTCGGCTCTAATGGAACCCATCTGAGGCCGCCCGTGTTTCTGGCAGGCACAAAAACAAGACCTCCACTTACGCAATCTGAGACAGGAGTAACAGAGCAGAAACCGGTAGACGAAATCCAGGCTTTCGAGTTCATCATGAGTAAGACGCCGACCATGTTCACGGCGCTCTTTCCGGAGACGAAGCCGTTTTCCCCGGCACACGTGCTCGAGATGGAGCAGAGCTGATTTGAGTAGCTGATCGGTGCGGAGAGAGCGGAAGTATTGGTTTTTTGAAGTGAGGTTAATGAGCGACTCGTGATCGAGTGTGGATAGGAGTTCGAGGTGGATTTCGGTGGGCAGTAGCATCAGAGACATGTTGTAGGGAGATTGGAGCTAGGTAGAAGGCCTGACACGTTCTACCATGTAAGAATCAAGGATGGATACGGAGTACAGCTGGGGTGGGCGGACGGTCTAAAATTCGGACGCATCACAGCTTAGACCACAACATATTTGGGTCGAGACTTGTGAGTGTGATCCAATTTGTTAGAATTACCGAAGAGGTAGACGAGCCTTGATGGGTATTGGAGGAAAATAAGAAAATATACGTTGGTACTGCAACTCCTAGCGCCAGCGTTTTGCACCACACCCCAATCTTGGCCATACACCCTGCCTATTAAGTAGCGGTGGTGTAGCCTGAGTCCTATAACACCATACAGCCTGAGGCCTTCCGGTTCCAGTTTTGAAAAAGATAACCTGACGATCGGAAGAACACAGGCAATCGCTTTCAGTGTCACTCCCAATCCTCTTCATCGCTCTCCTCATCCCTTTTCACAGCTTTGACTTTGTCCTTGACCTCCTCCTTCGGACTCCCTGGCGTCCTACTCGTTGCTCCGCTGACAAGATCGTAGCTGGCATCGCTGTCTGGTTGAGAGTGCTGATCGTGGGAGTTACGGCCTTCAATCGCAGGCTTCGTCGGGGTGGCAGCAGTGCTAGAACCTGTATCATCATTTGAGGAAAGTATTATTTTGTGAGAGGTTGAAGGACGCGAAGGGCCATCATCCTTTTCGTCATCCGAGTCAGCATCCCATGTCACTTCTTCGTCTTCTTCGTTTTGTGATGATGCTCCTAGAAACGCATAGCTTAGCTCGTGGACTTATTGAAAGAATTAGGGCTTCCCAACTACCCTTGAGTAAATCCTTTCTCTTCTGCTCCTCCGTCTGGATGACAAGCCTCAAGAAGTAGTATCTACACCAGAAGTCTTTGTAGTCAACCTTTTCTGGAACAAGCTGCTCCATAGCTCTTCGCAGCTCGGGGTACTTGCTCAAATCACTGCTGATATCCTCAGTCTTCTCGTCTATCTTGAATTCATCCTTGAACTTCGGCCACTCGCCACTGATGGGATCTTTGGCGAAGCTGTCAAGTGTCGAATGGATGACGTGGAGCTGTGCGTCAAATCTTGTCGTATGAATCACTCTTTTCCCACTGGAGTCTTTGCTCTCGAACAACACACTACTACTATTCCTTGCCTCGCCAATCTCTTCGGACGGTGGAGCGATCGCAACAGCATCACGCAGGAAGTTGCGGATGTTGGTGCCAAACCGAAGCAAGGCTTCATCTGCAGCATCTTCTGCTTTTTCGATATCTTTCAACCGCTTTGCCGCTTCGCTCCGGAATCTGGATATGAGGCTCTCATTCTCTCTGATAACCTCACTCTCGGTCCTTTTCTTATGCGGTTCGCTCTCTTCGGTATCGGTAGCCGTAGGGGTGCTGTCCTCTTCCCCACTCCTCGATTGCGAGCCCTCTGCCCTGTCTTCGTCCAACGATAAACTCCTTGTTCGCTTCACAATTGTCTCTTTCAGATCTGAGAAGCCCTTTAGAGCCTCTCCACTTGCGCCCTCTACTTCTCGCCTTGCACCTTCATAGTATTGCTCGCCTTGCTTGCGGACATTGCCCCAAAGCCCACCGAGCTTGGCACCCCAGGGCGAATTCGAGAATGCTCGAAATGTTTCTTGAAGTTCAGTATTTAGATTCGGTTTCGAGGAGGGAGCACCGGCTTTCTGTGAGGTTGGAGTTGGAGCTCGATCTGATGCGAAGGTCTCTTCGGTTATGTGGTCATATGCAATATCCATTTCCACCGGAAGAGTATGCCGCAAAGCTTCAAGCAGTTACAGACGTTCTCCCTGGACCAAGAGCGTCGTGCGTCCACAAGTTGCTTGATGTAGAAGTGATGTTCGGCAGTAAGCGTGTGACATCAGTCTATGAAGCTTCCGGACCGCGTGCAAGGTACGGAGCACACGCTAAATGTGGATATTTCTGGTCACATCATTGATATTCTAGCCAGAGTGCTCGTAGAGTTATTGGAGGTGGAGAGTGTCTTATAGCGCGCCCCGGAGGCCCGGAGTCCCTAACCTAGGTAAGTATTGCACAAGCTAGACTTCCCTAGAATGGTTACCTATCTGCTTGTTCCTCCTGCTAGTGGGCAGCGAGGTAAAGATCCACGGCTTCAGTGAGTACCTTTGGACTCGCACATGGCTCTTTCCAGTTTAAAAGGACACATACTTCCATACTGTTACTATACGAAGAACCTTTTACCAATGCTACGGTATTGAAATACTTCGGGAAGAACCCATCTTTAAGGTTTTAAGGCTGTAAACCTACCATTGCAAAAGCTCAAGGTTATTGGCACTGGAGAGCGAGCCCATGCCAGAGTGCAGAGTCTCTTGGAAGGGAAGAAGATCAGGGCTGATCGCTAAAATTCCCACACCAGTGGGAACAGGCGACTCCGACTTCGAGCGTCATAAGCAACGAGAACGAGAATCTGGGTTGAGGAAGCAGGAGCTAAAACACTAACAGTCTACGGTAAGATCTTGATCTGAGGAACAAAATTTGGTCCTATTACTCTCGTGAAATGGAAGGAAGTAGGTAAGAAATGATACTGGGCTCATGGCAACCTTGCACCTACAGCTATGATATACGGACTTGTCAGCTTCCTGTAGTAAGGCTGGTTACTGATCCCCCGCGCCATGTAGAGGCCAAGTTCTTGCAGGAGTGAACAAAGGAAGGCCGGAGAAAAACATATGATGAGAAAGAATCACAGAAAATGAAGAGACGGTTGGATAGGAAGACATGCGGAGCTGAACAAATGAAAAAGGAAGAATAGACGAAAGAAACGATGCAGAAACAGAAAGGAAAGCAAGAAGGAAGCGGCAATGAGCCCCAGTAACCGCCTACAGCATGTCTACGACCTACTTCCCATACCTACGGACTAAGGACTACATCCTACAATCTATGAAGACAAATGAAGGAGAACGACAAGTATGAAAACAAATAAAAAGAGAACAAGTGGAAGGTTGGTCGGCAAGGAGGAGGTCAGCACGGCAGAGTTCTGGAGGAAGGAGGTCAGCGGCAAGAGCCACTGACGGTGGAGAGGGAAGCGATAATGAAAATGGAAGACGTGGGTAACGGAAGATTAAGGTGAAGCGAAAGTTGGCGAAGATAATTTGGGTTGGCCGCAGATGTGAGTACAAGTCTAAAAGTAAGGGGATACCTGAATAGAGGAGAAGGCGAAGAGTAAGAAGATAGGCTCGGGAGGGAGCACAAATTGGTTTTGGCATGAGTGACAGTCTGCGGCGTTGACGCGAAGGTCAGGTCAGCAAGAATGGCAACGGTGATGGTAACTGCATAGGTAGCGCTAACGATACCGTGGGGCGCGAGATGATGAAAACAACAAGCTGACAAGGGGAAAGAAATGGTCTGGGCTATGACAATTCACTGGTAAATACTACCGCCTACATGGGAGGACCGGATGCAACACAGGCCCAGGAAGGGGCAGAGTGAAGTAGACTCCAGTGGTAATGTTCACGTACAGAAAGGGTTACTGCTGACGCCTAAGAGGCTCAAGAAAAGGGAGACGTCGAAACCATATGTAGGATCCGCATGAGAAGGTGCGTTGGGGGACGATGCAATAAGATTGTGGCGAGATATGGAGATAGGACCCGGCGACAAGGACAACAAGGATGGCAAAGGCAATATCACTGGCGACGGCAAATCAAAGCAAACCGGAGCGGTAGAGCAAGAATTTGAAACATGGCAAAGGAGACAAGTGGCAATCAAGTCAGCTTTTTCTTGCTGTCGGCTCCAAAAGCGGTGCGATTGGGCTCAGGAATGGGGCCTGTTATATTTGTGTTGGCATATCCCCTCCGTACCTGAACAGGGGTGTA